TAGGTTGCAATTTCCTTGATTTATTCTTGCTAGAAACAGGTATGAAGTCCTCTTGTACTTGCAATAATGTGCTTTTAAAAAATCCCCATGCCTCTTCAACAGTTTTGTTAATTAACTCCATCCAGTTCACGGTTTCTAGTTTTAATCTCATACAATTGAAGTTAGCCTTCCTAACATTATATATTTTTGATTTGGACTTTGCTCTTCGGGCACTAAACTTAACCTCAAATTTAACCATGTTATGATCGCTACTGTCAAGTGGTTCTAAAACATCTAATTTACCAATCCTGTCCTGGTTATTAGACAAAACAATTATTTTTGTTAGTAACTTCTCCAACACTGGTCACATTAAAGGTAGTTTGGGCTAAATGTAAATGAACGAAGATAAAGCCCATCTCAACTGGGGTATGTTAACTCTAATTAAGAAATCCTGCTTTGTGTTAGAGGTTACAGCTCTCAGCCTGTCTTCAGGTGCAATGCCAGGGAAGCTCAATAACTCAGAAGCCAATCAACAGAGCAAAGGGTGAGATCACTGCAGTCTAGTGTGACAGCAAACCATTGTTCTGCCACAGCAAAGAGATGGTATATGAGCACTAAGGGATCCATGGTGAGATCAGGTTAATCCTATAGGCTCAATGCAGATCATGTGAGGTGCCGCATTACGCTGAGGTACATTGATAATGTGGATAATGAAGGAAAGATGACTAATTCTTGATTAACAATCACCAGTAACAATGGACAGAAATGAAGGAAAAATTAAAAAAAAAAAAACCAAACAGCAACATTTGAAGCACAGCAGATGTGGTACCTTGATAGAACGGCGTTTTCTGGGACTGCAGCCTTATCTTCACAACGTCCAGGGGTGTGACTGCGTGTGTGAGCGGAGAAGTTGTTTAAATTAAAGATATACTTCCTATAGGGTTAAAACTGGAGGGGGATTGCAACCAAATAACAGCTTGTATTTCCACAGGGAACCTGGAGGATTTTAAATAAAGTTTACTGGCATAATATAACCACATGTCCCTCAGAGTGAGAGCGAAGGTCAGCTGGTGAAGGGCTGTAACTGAGCTGCTCTATGAGAGATTTCCCGGCATTCCTTAGGGAGAGATAAGGGGCTCCGGTTTATTCACAAAAAACGCTGTACACCAAACAAGGCACACTCCAAATATAACACTGCTACACTGGAGAGCAGGGCGTTGCTTCTCCTCGCCCACACACCATACTGTAGACAAGATGTTTGTGTGCAAGTGTGTATTCAAGCTGTCGGCACTACATGGTTTCGCTCTTTAGAATAGCCTGTACCAAAATAATGGTGAACGATGACAAACATGTGAACACATCAGATTGTTCTGTTCTTTATGATGGCCTAAAGGCTACAGCATCATCGGGTTCTTCATCAGAAAGCAAAAAAATGGGAAATACACTGGACGGACTCTCACCGAACAGAGAGGTGAGGAGGGCGCCCGTCCCAGAGGCCAGGATTTGCTGCATGGGGGTGATGCCACAGGGTGGACAGACAGCTGCCCGCTCCCCCATCCTGACACCTGAGACGACAAAGCATATTCATGGGTCAATTCTGCCCCGTATGTTAAAACACTTTAAGCATGAGGTTATCAGACCTTTACTATATGTTATGGACTCAAGACCACAATGTACATACAAAAAAAAAAAAAAAAAAAAAAAAAAAAAAACTCATGCTGACTTTTTCAGCTACTTAAAGCAGTAGTAGCAGCAGTATACTAATTATATACAGAGCTCCTAAGATATTCTTAAATATCATTATCAAGGTTCATGCAGTCCTTCAAAATGACTTCAAAATGTTATCGTCAAACTCCCATTCTGCATGAAGTTCTAGAGAGCGACGAAGCTTGTATTTCTGTAAACAAGGTGCTCATCCCTCAGGATCTATTCCCCAGTACAATTTCTGTACTGCGAGTTCCAGAACAACATACAGCGGGAGGAGCGAAGCAAGGCCAGGAGCAGACAGAAGGGCAGATACATTACTGTGATATGGGGGTGCTGCCAGAGGGAGAATAATGAGCACAAGGATATCAGGCACGCTGTTCATCCCAGGATTCATGTTTATATGTGCATGGGTGCCAGTACTTGACTTATTAGCTGTTACAAGCATAGGTGTGTAACCCAGAGCCCATACTGTAATCAGAAGGTCCATTCGCTTCCAAAGCTTATCTGTCATGTGCCTGTCAAGGGGTGGGACAGCAACCCACACATCAGCAAATATAATAAACTAGAAAGAAGAAAAAAATATATACTTTCCATCACACAAAATAAAAATCCCAGGTGTGTAAAACCCAGCAGTATTTAATATTCACCTTTGAATTATTGTTAGGCTTAACTCAACCTACTCGTTATATTACCTATTATTTAGTTAAGAATACTGTCAGACAAGTAATAAAACCGCTTGTGTTTTTGTCCCGTAACTACATGATCACGAGCAAACTGGTCGGGTGCAGTACAAACATATTTTAATGGCGGTCTGTTTCAGTGTGCTTATGCCGATATGGATTACCAGGTCGAGGGAGCACTTGTCCCCTTTTATTTTATGACAAGCATCCAGAGTTATTTTCCCTGGCACTGGACCCCTCCTTTCATCTCTGCTTGCAGTCATGCATAAAGGATAGAGTCTACATCAACTGGGCCGACTAAACTCCCAGCCCAGTGCTCTCAGAAACCAATTAGGTGCACAGCAAACTGCAGCTCAGCTGTCGAACAAAAGTCTTTGTACCCTTATGCAACAAAAATGGCAAACCTTGAGAACATTCAAATGTAAAAACTGCAATTACTGCTATTCTGGTACATTCCCTTGATCCAAACTGCATCATCCTGGAGAAAAATAGCATTACGTCCTACTTCTTTTTATATATCTGAATGCCAGTATTTAAACTATTTTACATTCTTTTGAATGCTGTTTCAGATCAGAAGACAAATTTATCACCTGAAGATACTAATTTACTTCCAAGTCGAGTGAAAATGTGCAAACCTTCAAAGCGCATCTAAAGCGGCATTTGCAACAGTTCCCTTAAATAACGTTGAAATTCAATCTACAGGGCAGGATTCCCCAATTCCATCGTAATCACTAATTACCAGGTTTTGCAGGGGTATCTAAGCAGGGAAGTCTGCTAACTGGCCCTCCAGGACTGGAATTGGGGAACGCTGCTATAGTGATTATCTTTAAAATATTTTAAAGGTGTCCATGAAGCCCTTAAGTATTGATCAGCACATGGGGGCTCCTGAATAAGCTTATACCCCTAAAAAGAACTCTGGACAGTCACTGTTCCAAGAGAAGCTGTAAAAAGATGTTACCATGTTTATGAAAATGTAACATGTAAAATGTAACTTTAACAAGTCTAACCTAGACTTGTTAAAGTACAGATGCATGAAACCAAGCAGCTGAGTTGTAACAAAAACGATTTTCCAGAAATTTTCCAAACTCGTTCCAGGACTTCATCCGATGTCGGTCCAGTTTTCAGTCTGTGTCCTTTTGTGCTGATGCTCTGAAGCGAGTCTCAGACACCGAGCGCTACGTTAAACATGGTAACAAGCAACCGCCACCCTGCAGTCCGCCCTCGTGTTAAAAGATGTTTTTCGTATGACTTACCATCAGAAAACATTAAACGTTGTAACCAAACATAAAAAGCGACATCGGAAAAACTTAAAGTATTACATTTTCATGTTAATATTGCATTTTCTTCAGTTATATAATTAAAACATCATCTAAATGCTCGCCTAAAACACTGAAGAGACAATAACTCCAGGTTTACCTACATGGCCTCACACTGGTAATGTTACAAAGCTGAATGCAATGCAGCTACCTAAATCCCCCTGGCCGTGAGGAACTAGACCGTATCACACTCCACACGTTTTTACATAAGAATATAAATGCTAAATACATGCGATTAGATGTTTAATCTGATGCATAATCGACTAGCTGGTCCAAACGACGGCTAGCAGGTTAGCAAACCGGCGGGCTGCTTTCGCGGCTGCAGTGCTACTCACCCAGATTTGCTCAGTGTGGAGATGAATCCGTTTTTGAATTTTTTTGCACCTCATTTGAGTAATAGTAGGATAAATTTCATGGCCCGGACACTTCCGTTTCCATGCCGCCGTAGCCACGGCCGCCTAATCGCAGGCGAGGACCTAACAGTCCAGCCGCTTGTTTTCACCTCGAAGGTCTATTCTTCTTCTAACGTGGGGTCATTATAGGGGCCGGTAACACTGGACGCGCTATTCTGCCACCTAGTGTCTGGCGCTTAGAAAGGCAGGTCCGCCGGGGGGAGAGAAACGCAGCTAACATAAAAACACGTAAAGAGGTAATATTTGTAGCGCCTCTTGTCGGAGGTTCAAACCCTGCTGTATGGGTAAAGACTGAATGATGCTACGCCTGTAAAACAAGTCAACACGGCATGTACGTACTGTAGGTATACATGGTATATAGGGAAACTTGATATGTCAATATTATTTTTTCACATAATTGGTTCTCATTGTTTATAATCTGCAAGCCAAGTCCCGAAATCACCCCCTACCCGCGTCCTCGGTCAGTATATTCAGGCTTCTGGGTTCAGTTACTGCAGCATCATCTTTACAGGAAAGAAAGATGGGGGCCTTGTATGAGACCATTACCTACACGCTGTTCTGTCTGCCTCATACTCCGCTTACCCCAGCGGTTGATCAATCAAATATTAGGTATCAGTTCTCTAGATTAGCTCCTGTGATATAGCTGTTAGGCTGATCATATCATAATCATAACATCAGCCATAATCAACAAAATGTAGCTGGTACGGCGCTTTAAATGTGTTACTAGTACCTACTTTTAAAAGACCTTTTGCATTCAGTGAAAACAGATCTGAACTATTACTCGCAAGATTACTGGTATGCAGCTTTCCAATTTTCTATACCTAGCTGGAAAGAAGATTAAAAGTAAGAAAACCATTCCCTTTCATCTCAGCAACAGCACAGTGTGGCTGAACACGTGACTGTTTTTCAGGGTCAAATGCTATACTTATTGACAACCGTGACGACCAATCATAATCTCCAGGCAACCATTTTTAACCAATCAAGAGTGGCGGCTTTAACATTGGGCACTGTTTATACGTACAATTGTGTTGTAATAAACTATTCTGTGGTTTTGGTAGTTTTTTTTTTGCAGGTTGATGTCTGTTTGGGCTGTCAAGGGGTTTTCGACGGTAAGTGACCCATAATATTATTTTACGATAATTTTCAAAATAGCTGTCTCACTACGGAAATAAACATATTAAATAAGGAAGATGTAGTGAAAAAACAAAGCTGTCTATGCGGATGGTGGGCATCAGATTTTAATCTCTCGCTAGACAGTTTAATGACACCGCAAGTAGCCACTATAGCATTCTTACACAAATTGCATGGTTTTATATGTGATACGCTGAATTGTTTGCTAGTTGTACCTTTCTTTTAACGGCCTGTAACCGTAATTCGTTTCAACTGGGTTTATGCACATGCGTATCCATATCTAACTTCCAAGGGCTGAGCAGTCAATTGCCAGTACTACACCGGTACATTTATAATATGTTGGTAAATATGCCTGTTGTTTAGGTGTTGTTTAATGCCTGATAGTCAAGCCTTGCGATACGGTTAACGTTATTGACATTACATTCTGATTCCGGATTTCCAAATGGTATTCATAAAACCCTCATGGTAAATATGTGCAAGCTCTTAGTGACTTGCATTATACAGTAGTTTTGTTTCAGGTCGTATATCTGGGTGTTTTTACAGGAACATCGAAGTGTAAGGATAGTTGTTCAACAGCTCTGCTTTAGGACCACCGGCCCCCCGGGTTATGAGTTCATGCCCTCAGCTAACAATTTGTACATTTCGCACCTAGACACGCATTATAGTGTAAAGCAGGGCTCTTCACATTTTTTTCAGGCCAGGGAATCCTTGGTGGATAGAGAGACAGATCTTTACACAATTTAAAATTGTGCTACAGATTAGGCTTGGCATATATCAACATGAGCATTTACTATATAAACAAGTTTATTTATTGATTAATGACCCTATTAACTTATTTACGTCGTCTTGTTGCTGTCAATGAACAATTATAAAGATTATTGATTTGAGGTTTGTAATTGTTACTTTTTTACACTATTTCTATTTCACTTAATAGATTTTTAAGGTGAGTGTGTGTATATGGTTCAAGTAATTTCAGTAAGTTCAACACTATGGGCTGTGGATAGTGTTTCTTGTTTTAATACAGGCAATTAATGTACAAGGCACAAATCAAACCAAATTAAGTGGAACTGACAGTCTATAGTGGAGTGGAGGTCATATATATGAACATACAAATATAAACAAACTGGACAAATTACAATATCACTACATGCAAAGCCATTACATTGTATAACACCTCATTAGTAAATACCCAACAAAATCATAACAGCGAAAAAATGGCAACAACCAGTTTTCAGTCTCCATTCATCAGAATGGGAGGTGAGATCACGTGCATGCTGAGATTATGTGCTGACATGTGTTCATCATCTGCACAACAGCTGGCTAATGTGGGTGGAGATTACAAAGACAATTGAGTCAAGTGACAACATGTTAATTTATCAGTGGTTTGACTTATTACTGGTGTGAGTTTTATTTATAGACATTTTTATAAAATTTCATAGACCCCCAGCAGTTCCTCTGTGGATCCCCTGTTGAAGACCCTTGGTATATGGTATAAAGTATTCATTTTCAGATTTAATGTCATTTAATTAAAATGTTGCAGAAAAGGAATTTAGAACCATATTTTGTGTTTTGAGTTTTGCAGAATGTCAATTCTTGCATGATGTTCTGTAATATGCAACAATTTATCAGTAAACTTAACAAATGTGAAGAATTGTACGTGTTTATGTATTTTTTTTTTCTGCTGTCAAATATGTAGTCTTGAGCCACCACTCATTTCTTTGTTTTGCTGGGAAAATGGGACAATAGGTAGTTATTTATTGCACCATGTGCAACACATGTAAATACGGTATATACCACAAAGAGAGTTTGTATCATTTTAACGAGCCTTGTCTGAACTCTCTTAGGCAAGTTTTCTTATTATTACTCTAGGTAGTCTTCAGGAATAGTCCTCCAGGCTTCTTGAATGACATTCCAAAACTCAGCTTTAGACGTTGGCTACATTTTGTTCTGTCTTCTGTCAAGAAGATCCCTACACTGCTTCAGTAGTGTTGAGATCCGAGCTTTGGGGAGGCCTATCCATGGTTGATAGCATTCCATCATGATTTTTATTTCTTTCATGGTATGCTTTGACTGCATTGGCAGTGTGTTCAGGATCGTTGTCATGCTGAAAAATGATGCCATTGCCAGGCAGATCCTTTCCAGATGCAATTGTGTGGTGGATCAGAATCTGACGGTACTTTTCACTGTTCGTAACAGTCAATTTTGATGAGATCATGAACACCTCTGGGTGATATGTAGCCCCAAACCATCACAGAACAGTGAAAAAGAATGTATTATTGATGGGTGTAGACGCTCACTGTTGTAGCTCTCTCCTGACCTACTCTTTACAAATTGACAACGCTTTGAACTTAAGACATGTTGCCACTGATTTTCAGTCCAGTTCTTGTGTAATTTGGCAAATATCAGCCTTTTCTCCCTCTTTCCCTTCCTTAAGATTGGCTTTTTGACAGCCACACTTCTATTGAGATCATTCCTGATGAGGCTTCGGCGAACAGTACATAGATGAACTTAAGGGCCAGATGCATCTCTCAGGTCCTCTGTCAGGTCTTTGCTGGATTTTTCTTAAGGGGCGTAACTTTGAGATACTGTTCCTCAGCTGCAGGTAGTTTTTTTGGGCCTGCCACTTCTTCGTTTATCCTCCACTTGTCTAGTTTCCCCAATTTTTTCAAGGACACACTGCATACCATGCTGAGATATGCTAAGTTTTTGGCTAATAGCTCTTTGTGAATCACCTTGTTGGTGCAAAAATACCATTTGAGGCTGGTCAAACTGTCTTCCCTTTGGCATATTGAATATATTAAATAAAAAAAAAAAAATGGGAAGAAATGTTTCACTGTGACAGGCTGCTAAGTGCCTAAAGCTACAAGGTGCCTAGATAAATGTGTTCCAACCACCCAGCATTCAGCATCACCAGTTTACTAACCACCAGCCGGTTCCTCTGTAATGATCTGCACCTGTTTCTTCACTGGTTCATGCCTTAAGTAAGATGGCTTTGTTATGCTTGAATGATTCTTAAGTAGGTCACTGTGTGGCTTAACAAACAGAAAACATCCCTCTGTAACTGGTCAGGTACAGGGACAGAACCGAAAATGAGAGCCAAAAACTTTGAAAGTCCTTCAGGAAGCCTGGAGAACTGTTCAAGACTACAGTAAAAATACAAGAAAGTCTGGCTCTCTAGAGACAAAATATAATAAATGAGACTTGGAAAGACTTGTACAATTTTGTGTGTGTGTGTGTGTGTGTGTGTGTGTGTGTGTGCTATATGGCCAAAAGTTTGTGGTCTCAAAAAAAAAAAATGCAGAGACATTTGCAATTTGTCTCTGCAAATTGGTACGTTCCCAACACATATGAAAATAGCTAAAGTTATACCCCCATACCAAAATGGAGATGGACATCAATTCACAAATTACAGGCCTGTTTCTGTACTGTCACAATTCTCAAAAATACTCAAAGTTTTCATTAACAGACTTGACAAATTCATTGATAAACATAAACTATTAACGGACATCTAGTATGGTTTCAGATCAAACAGATCAACATCAATGACATTAAAGGAATTAATTGTAAGAAATATCACTAATAACATAGATCAAAGACAATGTGCAGTTGGAGTTTTGACCTAAAAATGTTACTTGATAAAATGGAACACCATGGCATTAGAGGAGTGGTGTTGGAGTGGGTCAAGAGCTATTTGAGAAGCAGGCAGCAATTTGTGAAAATTGGTGAATATCAGTCAGAGTGCCTGGACATTGTTTGTGGAGTCCCACAGGGGTCAGTATTAGGACCAAAACTGTTTATCCTGTACATCAATGATATATGTAAAACATCTGATATATTGCAGTTTTATCTTATTTGCAGATGATACAAATATGTTTTGTACTGGAGAGAATTCACAACACCTTTTGGAAATGGTCACACAAGAATTTATCCAACTAAAAACATGGTTTGATAGAAACAAGTTATCACTTAATTTGATCAAAACTACATTTATGTTATTTGGAAATTGTAAAAAAAGATGCTGGAGTCAAATTGTTGATAAACTTCCTCTACTTCAACATTATTTTTCATACGAAATTTCTGGGTGTGACAATAGATAATAAAATTTCCCGGAAACCGCATATAAACCATATACAAACTAAACTGTCAAGAAGCATCTCTGTACTAAGTAAAGCAAAACATCTTTTGCATTACAAATCACTCCATATACTTTACTGTTCACTTATATTGCCAAACTTGGAGTACTGTGTGGAAGTCTGGGGAAAAGCATACAAAACTTCTCTTCAACCATTATGTAAACTTCAGAAAAGAGCAATTAGGATTATTATTAGGATTCAGAGACCACTAACATTTTGTTCTTGAAGTTTGTGTATAAAGCCAGATATAATATGATGCCAGGAAATGTACAGAGGATGTTTTTTGACAGAGAAGGTGACTAAACTGAGGAGAAAGTTAAATTTGAAGACTCTTAATGCACAAACAATGGTTTAAACCTTTTGTATTTCTATTTGTGGAGTAAAACTCTGGAACAGTTTTCCAGTGGACCTACAGCAATGTTCAGGCATTATTCAGTTTAAAAAAACTTTTCAATACCTGCTTTTGGAAAATTATGAAACTGATAAGCTGGGTGACTGATGGGATATAGTAATGAGGGGAGGTGGGGGATAACAGAATATGGCGATTTGGATAAAGTGTTGAGCATGCGGTAGGGATTAATAAGTATGTACATACTTCCTCCTACTCCATTTCGGACTTCTTTTTTTTTTCATTTTATGTTAAGATTTTGTTTATTTTGTCTGCAGCACACACGTGTGTGTACCTATATAGGTATGCGTGTATATATGTATGTGTATATACTGGTTTGTTGTATATGTTTGAAATAAAAGGTTATCATTCTGAAACCAAGGGTTTTAATATGAAGTTGGTTGGCCCGTTGTTATAATAGCCTCTGCTCTTCTAGGAAGACTTTCCATTAGATGCTGAAACATTGCTGGAGGGATTCAGGTTGGATACCATTCAGGTTTGATATTAATGTTATCTGGTCCCTTTCAGTGAGCTTCTGGTCTACCCCTTTCTGAACTTGTTCCCAAACGTTTTGACCTTTAAAATCACTTCATTTGCAGTTGATGAGGACAGCTTTAGCAGGGCAGAAATGTGGTGATCTGACTTGTTGGATGGCATCCTATGAGTTGAAAGTCACTAAGAACCTCTACAGCCACCCCTCCTGCTGATAATGTTTGTTGCAGAAGATTGCGTGACTTTCGGCAAAAAGAGTTAGGGACCCCTACTCTGAATTATAGGGGTGTCCACATACTTTTGGCCATATTGTTTGTTTGTTCTGTAATGTGTGTCTTTTGCCGTTTATATAATCTTATGTGCATGTCTCTCTCTCTTTTCCTTCAATAGATGCTGAAGATAAGTGTGTTATGCGTTTGTGTGCTATCCCTGGCATCAGCACTGACCTGTCCTGACAGTGGCCTATGTGACAACAGTAACACATGTTGCCAGACTGCTTCTGGAGTGTATGGATGGTGCCCATTACCAAATGTAAGTCTACAGGGAAGATACTGTTAGACTACAACAGAATAGTCATGATTTAAAAACTAACATGCTTAACCTGGAATCCCCATCCCGCAGCCCTGAATGCTAGCGATAAACTTTCAGCTTCACAAACACCTTATCAGCTGTGCATATCAGCAAATGACTAATTATTCGGGAGGTTAATAGACCAGGCATATGGCAACTTCTACATATACCTGCCTAAGCAGGAAGTCCTACCAAGAGTGATTTCAGTGGTGAAGCCAGAAAGTGACCATCCTTTTGTGTTTAAAAGATCAGAGAAACTGGGAAGGGGGAGAGACATTTTTAGTGTTTCAGGGGTGTGGTACTGTTTAAGTATGCACTGATAAGTCATGAACAAGGCTGAACCAACACTTTCTATGCACAGAGACTTTTGTGTAATGCATTTGTCCAAAGTGTTCATCTATTGGATTCGTTTGTGTGTGTGTTTGTTTTTAATAAGGGCAAACTAAAATACGTCAAGCTAGGACCTCCTGTAATCTGAATGATGGGCCGCTGCTCCTGATGCCTCACACATACGTATTTAAACTGGTTTCCAGGCTGAATGCTGTGGGGATCATTTGCATTGCTGCTTTGCTGGCATGCTGTGCGACCTGGAACATTCACACTGTTCCAATGCGAGCCACACCCTGCCCTGGCTGCGCAGGATTCCAGCAGAAGTACCCCTATTCCCACAGGTGACAACCTGCTGTCAATGACGGCTGTTTATAGCCTTCCTCTTTATTGTTTGCATTCTTGGTTGTACTGTTTATCCCATACATTACAGCAAAAATGCTTTGCATTGTCGTATGAATAGTATGTATGCTCTAATGGTAAATAGACTATTCCAAAGTTCCATCGGTATAATAATACTTGCTTCTGTTCCGACTGAAACTGTACACTAGCAGTGCAGAAACTCCGGATTAGTTTGCAGACATATTTAGACATGTCTTTGAAATAAGTTTGAATGGAGTGTGATGCTCCACACTAGAGGATCTGTATGATTTTATTTGATCTAAGAAGAACTGCAACCACAAAAATCTGTCCTGCCAAGTTGTAACATAATAAAAAATGGATGCAATTTCCTTCTGTATAAAATTTGCATGTAAATAATGTTGCAAACTTCCTGTGTCACCATGTGTTCTGTTGCTGCTGTTTTCCTGCCTGGTCACGGTCTTCTTCTAGGCCTGGTCCTGCTTAGATGGTGGGCAGTGTTGTCCTGATGGATACCATCTCAGTGATGATGGAGCTTCCTGCACTAAGAATAAAGGTTGGTTCATTTTCAGAAAAATGATCAGAAAGAGTATAACTTAAATGCAGGAACCTCACAAAATGCTGAGGTAAACTAGCCACCCAACAGAAGGAAGGGAACTATCAGTGTGAAGGAGATGTTTAATTTTTTTTTGCTGATTAGGTGACACTGTTTTTGAACAATGAGGCTGCTTTTGTTTAACACTAGTGTCATATTTCAAATAAGGCAAAAAAGTTAAAAAAAAAATGAAGGGGGATGCAAATACACACACACACACACACACACACAAAAACAAACACACACACACACACACACACACACACACATATATATATATATATATATATATATATATATATATATATTATATATATATATAGCGCATATGTGAACCACTTTTCATAATCAGATGCAAAAGTGTTTAATTTTGCTATGACTTATATGACTGTGGTTTGCCATTGGCCAGATTTATCTTTCATACAATTAGAAACAACATTTTCCTGCCTATTGGTGGTTTATACATTTTAACTTATTACTTAAACTGTGATTATAATTTATCTCTGGTCTTTATGCAGAAATAAATTGGTCTTATTGCATTATTTTTTTCTTTGGCTGGGGATGAAATTTAAAAATGACAAAGGTAATTAATTGATTCAAGTTGAATATTATCATTAATGCTTTTGAACTTGAATAAACAATATTAAATGAAAAAGCAGAAATACACAGCCTGTGATACTTGGTAGTGTTTTATTTTGATTCAAAAGTAGTGTGTTTGCATAACCCACATATGCATTATATTAACTTGAATAGGAGACTTGAGTGAATAGGTACGTGTACGAATGCTTTGTGATGTACTGGTATTCCATACAAGGTTAACCTGGAAGGAGGCCCTTGCAAACATTGATGGATGGACGCTTATTGAATATGAGCTCCATACATCATCATAAAGTAAAAGAAATCCTGTGCTTTTTACCCAGAAGCATTGTGTAGCAAAGGGTTTACTGCATGTCTGTATTATAGGATATTGTTTCTCATTGGTTTAAGCATTGCAAGTGAATAAAAAAGAATGATGTTGGACTGTTTCTACCAAGGAACAAAAAGTGTGATTTCATAAGAAAATGTCAAATTGGGAAAAGCAATTTCACAAGGTAGAACAGTTAGCCTTAAGGTTAACTTTAGCAATCAAAGAGAGGCTACTCCCTGTCTGTCCCCAGTCTGTGTTGTGGGTAGCATTACATTATTACTCTGCTGAGACATTATTTGCACAGTTTAATTACCAAGCATAAGCATGAACTATTGTCCTTTCTAACTTTTTTACTTGAGATAAAAGATTAATGTGTAACCATATTATTATCTAAAGGCTCTGCTCAGAGTTTTACAGTCTTGGTTGAAAGGGCTGAGTATTTGCATGGAGTACAGGTGCAGGTTTTTGAGCATGCATGTGCAGTTTTCCATTAAAAAAAAATAAAATAAAATAAATAAAATTATACATATACCCTCACCACTCCCCGTTTATTAATTTAATTTAATTATGATTGTTTTTGATTAGGGACAGATCTTATTCTTGCATATCCCTAGTTCTCTCAGTTATGATTAAACATTATGATCTTGCAGAATAACCAAAATTCATATTTCATAAATGTTCTCCATCTGTAATGTGTACAATGGGAATGCCCAGCATGCATCAAAACCTGAAGCTCACAGTACTGCGTTACTGCTGTATAATTATGATCCCGAATAAATGGCGCCCCCATCACCTCTAAAACAAACTGTTTGCATTTCCTTTCGTGAAGACTGTCACAGGCTTCCTGTTCTTGGAAAATTCTGTAGGCTGTGGTCTGCAGTTTGAGACATCTGGGCCATTCTGACATCATCAACTGGAGCAACTGGTTCGGCAGACACGTACAGCAGTTCTGTTACCATTCTTGTGAGGATTCTTCTTTCTTTCTTTCTTTCTTTTAAAGCAAGTTATGTGGAAGCCGTCATCTGCCCCGACGGGGAGTCGGAGTGCCCCGATGGAACCACGTGTTGTCAGCTCCCAGACAGCAGCTGGGGTTGCTGCCCCATGGCCAAGGTGAAGGGGCTGGGGGGATGGCACAGCAGTCGTTAAGGTTGTGGGTTTAAGTCCCAGGAAGGGCCCTACTAAATCTGCTTCAGTGGAGGGGTGTGTCTTTGTCTGTGTGTGTGTCTGTTTTGTGTTACATAACCTATCAAGTTGGAAGAGGAAAGGGGGAAAAGAAATCTTAATAACTAATCATGAGATTTAAAACTTGTTTTTAATTACCTTATAAACTGACTAATATGCATTAAAAAGCTGTAAGGATATACAGTATCACTGTGATACTGTATGTGAAACATTATCAAAGCACATAAACTGGGGAAAAAAAATCTTACCGTTGGAATGCATTAGGATGTTTAGTGGCTGCGGTTTGAGTTTTGGATCCTGCTCTCTGCAGGCAGTGTGCTGTGAGGACAGAAAACATTGCTGCCCTGAGGGTACCAAGTGTGACCTCGAACACTCGAAGTGTTTGTACCCCACCCAAGGTGAAACCATAATTGTGAAGAAGTTCCCTGCCAGAAGGAGAGCATCTCCAGAGGACCATGGGAGGAGAGGTATGCTGTCACAATGTCTTAGGCACTGTCACAATGTCACAGCTCAGCGTTTGGTTTAGCCCAGGGATGGGTGGGGGTCCATGCCCATGTAAACGTCTCCTCCCTGCAGCTGCAAATACTCCAGGTGGAAAGAGCCAGTACTCTGGTGGACAGACCCCTCTGAGAAGGAAGCTGACTGCAGCCCCCAGTGATGGTAAGGAAGCTTGCTCTGCGAGCCGGCCGCTGGCCAGCTGGGCTGTGCCATCAGTCTCCTCCGATTTCCCTTTCAGTGATATGCCCAGACGTGGTGTCCAGGTGCCCGAATGAGATGACTTGCTGCCAGCTGAGCAATGGGAGCTACGGGTGCTGCCCCATGCCTAGAGTGAGTGTTTCATGGGGTTTATGTCTTTGGGGGGGGGGGCACTTCTTCTGAATATACTATTAAATTTCGTTTCATGAGTCATGCTTTCCATCCTTGACAGTTGCATGTTTTCTTAACAACACAGACTTGTTCTAATAATTACCCAGAAAGACTGTGCTCAAACGCCCTTAGACGCGGCTCTGATAGCTGAAAGTGTCTCAGTGCTGAGTTTGGCAAAGTCGTGTGTGTAGAACTGGGACAAGTCCTTTGATTTTAAGTAGATGTGTCATTTGGCTACTGTGAGTTGTTTTTTGTGTGTTTGTTTTGTTTCATTTTTTCCTGTTGCAACAGTTTTTTTTTTTTTATTTTAAACATCATGCCCAACTTGTGAGCTGCTATGAAACCTACTCGCAGGGCTCAGATTTTAAGCTAACGTTTTAATTATCTCATGGTCTCGGCTGCAGTTGTTTTGCCTTTATGTTCCGCTCGTCAGCTTAGACACGCTGATTAATCTAGTGGGGATTCCAGGCGCGCTCAGCAGTTAATAATATCAGTTAGGATGGTCTCTTGTAATTTGTGTGAGGTGCTCTGATTCCTGTCTCTCCTGCAGGCTGTTTGCTGTTCTGACTTCCTCCACTGCTGTCCTGATGGCACCAAGTGTGATCTGGCCCACAGCACCTGCGTGTCTTCTGGGGGGAGCAGTGTATCCTGGGCTGCCAAGCTTCCTGCAAAGCCGGCTCCTCAGGCAGAGAGAGGTTACCTCCACCTCGCTATACGCCAGTGCAGTATAGGCTGTTTCTAGATGGCCAGCTCAGTGCATGTTATTTCTCAAGCCTCTCCTGGTAATTAGACAATGAGGAGTTTTCAGTTTTACACTTGCAAGGTAGGGCATTGGGTGAAAGGAGTGTAATACTATACGAGAAAAGACAGCGCCGGACAAACAGTAGTGCAATGTAAGACAGCACAATACAAGAATGAATAAATAAATAAAATGTGTAATTAAGTTAATATGTGCAGTTTTTCTCGATATAACTTTAAATCAGCTTTAAAACGGCGTATAGATTTTAAGGTCTTTTTAAGAAACGTTTAAAAAGAAATGTGAAAAGGTAATTAGGGCTGATAGCTAGGAACTAATTAGAGCAAGTCAGGGGAATGATTTGAAACGCGTCCAACACATGCAGCTCTCCACGGTCTCCCTTATGGCAGTGGTTGTTGCAGTTAGGCTTGTTAACAATGAAAAGCATTCGATGCAAACATTTTTGCACTGCTGACTCATTGCCTCTCTGTCTCCTAGGCAACGTTGTCCCATGTAACGACACTGTCGCCTGCCCTGACAACACGACCTGCTGTAAGATGGCCGCAGAGCAGTGGGCGTGCTGCCCTTTCTCGCAGGTGCTCTCCCGCCTTCCCTTCACATTGTCTACAGGTTCAATTAGCACAGCCACATTTCAGAGGACTTCTGTGTTCGGCCAGTGTTTCTGAGAAGGAAAGCGCAGCATTAGCACCTGTCCAAGAAGGCTCCTTCCCATTGCTTTGGAAATTGATATTTGCATTTTAAGAAGTGCTGACTTTAAACTAAGAGGGAGATTTTAATCTAAGAAACTGGTCAAAAGCATGCTGTCAAAATAGAATAGTGATGCTTCACTATTCCCCATGGGTAGGGTTGTCACGATCATGAAATTTTAGTTGACGATAAAATGTCATACAAATAATTGTGATTAACAGTTTAATTATCCTTTTCTGTTAATTTTATAACACTATCAGCCTAGAGTTAAGCTAATAATAGTTTAATAATACATATACATCTTATGAAGAATTGAATTTTGGAACATATAAATAAAAATTGCATTTCTGTTTGCCTTTTGAGCTTTCTAAACAAAAATTGTACAGGGCAGATATGACATAAATAAGATGTTAAATGCACCACCCAATCCCTTCAACCTTTCGTTCTCGCTGCAAACCATATTGTGTACATTTACAGCAAACTAAGCCAGATAACTTATTGCAATTAAGGTAGTCTGAGGTAAATACAAGTGAACAAAGATAAAATCTATTTAAATTGGGGCACCTTAAGTCTGACAAGCTATCCGGCTTTGTGAAACGTGATACAGAGCCCTGGTGTTAATAACTCCATTGACAATCCATGACAAAACAATCCATTTTCTTTACTTGACATCTGAAGTTTTCACTCCGGTCGCCTATTTCCACTTTTTGGATCACCACTATTACCTAAATATCCTATATCTGAAATGTTTGCTTATATTTCCATCAGATGATATTGCTGCTATCCAGCGACATGGTATTTCAGTATACACACACCTTTGGTTCACTATTTTGTGTTTGTTCTGTCATATTTATATCCAGGGGTGCACATAACTGGCACACAAGTACGCATTCACCGTACGTGAAAATATGTATTTATTTTATGTGCATTCTTGCTGTTATGACAAGAAATCAGTGTGCATTTTAGCCTTTATACTGCAAAAGTACAAATCAGCTACATAAAGATTAAAATGCACAGTAATTTCTAGTCATAACGGCGCAAATGCACATAAAAAATATGCATTTGTGCTGCTACAACAAGAAGGGTCAGGGTGAGCCAGCAGATGTGTGACTATTCTGCCAAGGCCAGGGTTCGAACCGACAGCCAACTCTGACCCCCTGAGCCACTCGCCACCCCCAAAATGGCCTTTTTCCATCATAGTAAATATTGAAACTCCATTATCCAAAACTCTCAAAACTTCACTTGTGTGATGAATTATGCGAATCGGTTTTAATTACGTTATTATATATACAGTAAAACTGGTCTAAGTCGCCGTCTTGTAACTCGTCGATGTGGCTAAGTCGACGCTCAAGCAAAAGTCCCGATTTTTCCTAATGATGTTTCCTTTAAAGTTCCTTGTGTAACTCACCGCTTGTAAGTCGTCAAATTCCCTTAGTCGTCACCTAAATCCCGGTCCCGAACAACACAAATGAATGGATTTTCCTACCTGTAAATCGACACCCCAATCGCTGCATTCCCACCGCCTGCTTGTCACCACGGCAATGTAGAAACGGGGAATCCCCACCTATCGCACTAGTTGCTCCCCGGTCTTAAGTCTTGCGTGTATAGTGCGGTGTAGTAGAGGTATGGTGTTATATTTACTAGTTGGCAAAAGGGCGAGATAGACATAAGTCGCCGAAGTGTCGATTTTATAAGTCGGCAAAACGGCGAGTTATATTTACTAGTCGACAAAACGGCGAGATAGACATAAGTCGCCAAAGTGTCGACTTAGGTGTATCTTGTCAATTCTCTAAGTCATCACTTTTAAGCTGGTCCCGCGAGTGTCGACTTAGACCGGTTTTACTGTAATTATAAATTATCCATCCAGTTTCCAACCCACTTATCGTACTGGGTCGCGGGGGGTCCGGAGCCTATCCCGGAAGCAATGGGCACGAGGCAGGGAACAACCCTGGACAGGGGGCCAGCCCAGCACAAATAATTATAAATTATTATAAAATAATTATTTTGGTCCTGTGAAGTTTTCTGGCTTGTTGCTGACTGCGCTGACAGAATCGTCTTGTTTGTTTCCCGCGCAGGCAGTGTGCTGTGACGACCACATGCACTGCTGCCCCCACGGCACCATCTGTAACCTGGTCTCCAGCACCTGTGACACTCCCACCAGCCCCGTGCCCCGGCTAGACAAGCGTCAGCCGGACGACCAATGCAACAGCACCGCCTCCTGTCCGGGCCAGGCCACCTGCTGCAGGACGCCCAACGGAGACTGGGCTTGCTGCCCACTCCCTCAGGTTAGGTCTTCACTATCGTTATTCGTGGGGCTATCCATTTGGGTGTCAGGCCTGTGAGATGGTTTCGCCACTGAACGCTGACTCCCTTATGCAGGCAGTGTGCTGCGACGACCATATTCACTGCTGTCCCCACGGACACACCTGCAATGTGGCGGCCGGCACCTGCGACAGCCCCTCAGGGCCTGTCCCCTGGCGGGAGAAGAGACCCGCACGCATCTCAGAAGCTGATGAGAAGTGCGACGAGCAGACTGTCTGCCCCAGTGGGACCACGTGCTGCAGGCAGAATTCCAGAGAGTGGGCTTGCTGCCCCCTTCCCCATGTGAGTCAGGGCAGACAGACCCCCCCCCCCCCCCCCCCCAACCCAAATCCTAACTCTAACCCCCACACAACCACACACACACGAATCCATGAAAGTGCTGGTTGTTGCTCTAATTCGACTCACTGATGCCCTGCAGGCAGTATGCTGTGATGACCACGAACACTGCTGCCCCAAAGGGTACAAGTGTGACGTCTCCCAGAAGACGTGCAACAAACCAGGGGCCCCCGGCCTTTCATGGGCCCAAAAGCTGCCTGCCCAGATGAAGCATGGTGCTGAGGCCAACGTGAGCGCCCCCTTTGGGGGAAAGGATAAGTGTGACCCCTATTCCAGCTGTCCCAAAGATAACACCTGCTGTTACATGAATAAAGTTGGCAGATGGGGCTGCTGTCCACTGCCAAAGGTAAACACCTCTGTCACTACCCTGCATTTCTATCTGAGGGTTACCAATATTGATGAACAAGAATTTGTCATAGCAAGAACTAGCGGTTCACTGTTTCATTACATTTTTTTTTCTTGCACAATGGTTGAGTGGTTTTTCAGAGGCTGAAAGCTCGTAGTGTTTTTTCCTTCCACACGTGGTCTCACAATGCCGTCTGGGAAATTCCCCCATGTCTTCCTACTTCCACCAGGCAGTGTGCTGTAAAGATGGAGACCACTGTTGTCCGAATGGCTACCAGTGCGACCAGAGACAGGAGTCCTGCATCAGAGGAGGCCTGGTGATTGGCTGGTACCGGAAGCTGGAGGCTCAGTCTCATCCCATTACGGCCTCCGACGTGAAGTGTGACACTCAGAGCAGCTGCCCCACTGGAACCACCTGCTGCCCCCTGTCTACGGGACAGTGGGGTTGCTGCCCGCTGGTCCAGGTCATTGCAACCCCTCATCAAAGACTGAGAATTTGAAGTTTTACCGGTTAGGTTTCAGTTGGGTTTTTCTAGGAACAGTGTGTGGCTCAGTGGGCTAAGTCTCTATACCTGTGATCAGAAGGTCATCTGTTTGAGCCTTAGCAGAAAAGTCACATGTCCGTGGGCCCTTGAGGCCCCTAACCCCGTATCCCCAGTATACAGTTCTGGAAAAAATTGAGACCACTCTATTACAAAATATATGGGAACGACCAGAAACCAAGCCATATAGAAGAAACTTTCTAACGCCAGCGATGACTGGTAACTTATCTGGCAGTGCCTCATATCAGTTCGTATCAGGTTCCTAGAAGCAGGACTGAAGACCCATAAAGCAAGGAAGAAGCCCTTCATTAATGAGAAACAAAAAAAAACTAAGAACAATCAGGCTAAAGTTTGCAACACAAAAAAATCTATATTGTACACAGGTGCATACGCATAAATGGAGAAGTAAGTGAAACTAAAAATTTTGCTGTGGTCTCTTAATTTTTTCCAGAGTTGTATGTGGAAAGTACAATGGGGTAGCGAAAAGAGAATTTCCCCATGGAGATGAATAAAGTATCACTATTTTATTAGAGAATTTAAGGAATAGGAGTCTGCAGCACTTCAGACTACCTTGATTTCACTTCTGTGGCCTTCAGCTACCATTTCTAGTTACTGCCTTGGTGTGTTCTTACGTCCCGTTATGATGTCCCGCCCCCTCCGCAGGCCGTCTGCTGCGCCGACCACGAACACTGCTGTCCCCAGGGCTACACCTGTAACATGAAGTCCGGCACGTGTGACAAGGAAGAGGGACACGTCATCCAGAAAGTTCCCGTGAGGCCGATTTCTGGGTCGGACCCGAAGGGAGCTGGAAAGGCCGACAGCCAGTGCAGTCACTGCTCAGAGGGAGAGACCTGCTGCTGGAGCTCACATACATCTGAGGCCTGCTGCCCATGGCCTGAGGTAGCGTGTGCTGCTCCTTCCTGCTAAAGCCAGGCTGGAGAGCCCCCGTCCACATAGGGCCACGACATGGGTTTTGCGTTTCCGGGTGGCTGGTGTACAACCGGTCAGCCTGTGCACTAGGTGACCCTTGTTATGATTCTCACCAATCTTAATGAAGATATGACTTGGAATGAAACCGACCCTCAGAGCTCACAGACCAGTGTGCATCACTGTTACAGGATATTTGGAAATGGGTGCAGTTGCAGTACCAAATGTCTTGTTTTTTTGGGAGATAATGCCCTCTGATTCACTGTCTTTATTAATAAACTATCATTCCATGAGTTAATTTCTTTATACTAAATGAAAAATTTTAACTGATTTATTCAAGACGCACATATGAACCAAAAATGTCCCTTTTCAGATCTTTTTCGGAAAAACATGCGTGGATAAAGTTCCCAGTTCATATTCATTTAGTTGGCTGCGTGTGTGTGTTAATGTAATTGACATTCTTTCCTCCTCTTGTTCATGTTCATTTTAAGAACCCTCGCCTCACTTGGTGTTTGAGGGGCAATAAGAATATTATCAAAAACAAAGGCCTGAGTTTGATTTGCTGTCACTTTGGTTTGATAGGTCGCTGTGGGAAAGTGAGCAGCTCTCGCTCTTTTCTCTCCTGCCCCATCCTCCCTGCAGGCCGTGTGCTGTAGTGACATGACACACTGCTGCCCTGCGGGGTACACCTGTGACCTGGAGGCTGGTTCCTGTAGCAGACCCAATCAGCTCAGCTGGGATTTCCTTCTGACACGCGACAGCAGAGCCGTAACTCCGGTGTGACAGAGAGCCTTACTGATGTCCAGAGCTCTTCATCAAAACCTGAGGACAGCAGACAATATATTTTAGACTTAATTATGATTTTGTGTTTTTTTTTTTCTCCTCCTGGGTTCTCTCCTTTGGTGAGATGTATAAATGGAACTTTTGTTATAAGCAGACATTCATTGAGGAAGCTGATCTGGTTTCAACTTGGATGTTTCCTACTGTTTTTCAAACCTCTAGCTCAAACTGAATCATTTATGTCACTGGTATTACTAACCTTGTTTGGATGTTTCATTTGATATGTTTTTAAATTAATATCCTAGTTCAATGTGACACACAGTGCTTTTGGAATTTTAAATTTGTTTTCCTATTTATAAAAGCGTTTTGTTCCTCTGTCAACTGCCACTGCAGATTTAAACTTTACCATGCAAGTACTTATGAAATATAGATGCATATCACTGGTGTGGTGTACCTGCGAGGGAACCACTGGTAATTACCTTATCGTATTCTTCTAAGTTTGTCACCTCGGTGCCCATGCTTTCTCACAATCTGATGAAACTTTCTTGGCATATTTTGAGATTTGCACATTTGGTTGCAGAAGGCTGAGACATTACATTTGCAGAAGGTAACAGATTACTTGTATTGCCCTAGAATGGATTTGATGTATCCATGCTGGTAGGATTGACGTTAGTGTTCTTAGAGAATTTTTCATTGTTTTTATATTTAATTCTTACAATTGTTTTTTTCTGAAACTGTCATTTTGAAATGTGGATTTTGAGGGACTCTTACATTTACCAAAGGAGTTCAAAGTGCAGGACTTTGCAGGTTCAGCATTTTATTGCATGTCAGATGTGACATAATCAGATTGTTTGGGGTTAAATAAAAAGATAGTTACTGCCTCCAGCTTCCTGCTTTCCCAGCTTACTGGATTTTTCATTTGGAAGAAAAATGCAGGTGAGAGCTGGTACAGAGCGTATATGATAGGGAATGGAATTCTGCAAGAGTGAGTGTGCAATCTAGTATTGATCAACATAATGATTAATGACATCTTTGACCAAGAGGAGCTATAAGATAAAGGTCATATGCTTCTCCAGGCATCATATAAGCCAGTATCCCTGAAGTTATATGCACAGGTGCTTAAGCAGATGAGAGGTAAGATTTGCTTGGCGTCACATCTGATGAAAATCTTACCTAGAGATACAATAGTGATAAAGTCGAAAGTAAGTACAAAAATGTTAACTTGCTGCCTCTGTGGTGTAATACGTAAAGGAATCGGGAGTATGATATAAGATGTAGTTTTTTCATTTCTGTCTACTGACTTACACTCCAGTACAGTAGGTGGCAGTGATGCATCTGTAAGCTGGTTTTCATACGCCAATAGCTCCTAGAAGAAGACGCCCCACAGTTCTCGTCGCTATGGTCCCCGTCGAGGGCTTACGGTACTAGCTGCTTCCCTTTTGCTGAGCAGCGATTGTATAAGTCAGAGCAATTTTCCTAACTTAAAAATACATAGTTAATGTCACAATGCGTGTTTTTGTTTCTGCATATGTCTAAGAAGCGTCCTTTTGAATGTAAATTGTTTTGCTGATGCAGAAAATCATTTTAACACCAGCACAGGGTTGCCAGATCTCACGCATCTGGCGTGATACGCTTTCAGAATCTTACGGTCACGCAAGAAATCTTACGGCAAATCTTTATTATTACATTATAAACCTAAAATTAGTCAGATCAAAAGCGTTGGGGCAGTTTGCCAACTCTATTGACTATAAGACAATAAACTCTTACATACATGTAAATGTGTGTGCAGACTTGTCTCGAATTGAAAATCTCACTTCAGACAGTTGACGTAAGTTGCTACTCGCCTTTTACTTTGTTATAAGCTGGCTGGCCATTAACTAATACTTGTCTGTGTATAATAAGGGAAGTTATAATAATAGATTATAAGTCTACTTTTTTATTGGTTGCTGATAGTGTTTCCTGGCTATTTGGTGAATGTGGGCTGCTAAAGCACTTGGATGGACGTCGCATGTGTGACTTTTGTTGTTTTTGTGCGATTCATGTATAAGGGAATTCAACAAGGTGGAGATGATCCTGGCAGGACGCTATGCTTGCCGTAAAGCTGTCATTGTGAATTCTCATTTCACAACGCCAAAATATGCAAAGTAACTTCGTAGAGTCTTATATTAATCGATTTAACTAAACTATACATGGATCAATAATTAGCTTTGCTTGTTTCTGTTCCAAGTCCCAGTACAACGTACTGTTATGAATTTTACATGAAATATCAGAAGGCTACTCTGAAAATTGGGCATTTCTTATTGCAGACATGTTAAAATAATATGGAAGGCATCATCAACACAGAGAGGTTGAAGTTAATACATTGTTTTGCCCCTTTTTCAGAATATTGGCGATGGCACTACTGACCATCCTTACAGACGTGCATAGTGTCTGGTATTGACTGCTATCCACGTAAAGTGACCACAAAAATGGGCAAGAATGAAATTGCAGATATCCATTCATCTCATGGCCACCAGATCGGTGTCAATCTGAGAGCCGGTGGTGAAACTGAAACCTCAGGTCCAGTTTTACTGATGTCATTGCAGATTATCTACCTGCAAAAGTTCAGTGAGATTAATAAATTGATAATGCGTTACTTGATTTCATTATCAATAGCGGAATACATTTGTCAGCATCTGTTTAGCAAAATAGTTACATTTTAATAATGTAATGGTATCTGCGTTAAACACACGCGTGCAGCTCAATATTCATCAAGCAGCACATAAACTGAAAAACAAGTCACACACTTTAATATTTCATTGGACCACTTTTAGCTTTGATTATGGTCCACATTTGTCAGTGCACTGTTTCTACGTGGTTATGCAACTTTTCAGCATTTTTTTCATTTGCATTAATTTCTCATCGAGATCTTGTATTGAGGATAGATTAATTGAACCACTCCATAAAGTCTTCTTCAGCACATCTCAAAGACATGCAGTGGGACTGAACGTCATCAAAATGAAAGAACTGATTGTGGACTACAGGAGGCAGCGGGGCTCTTACCCCCCTGTCCACATTAACGGTGCTACGGTGGAGAGGGTGAGCACCTTCAAATACCTCGGCGTCCACCTACAGGAGGACCTCACCTGACCCACACACACGTGCTCTGGTCAGCAAGGCGAGGCAGCGGCTCTACCATCTGAGGCAGCTGAGGAGGTTTAAGGTCTCTCCTGCTGCTCTAAAGGCCTTCTACTCGGCTGCCATAGAGAGCATCCTGACCATGAGCATCACATCGTGGTTCAGGAGCTGCTCTGCCCAGGACCGGAAAGCCCTGCAGATGGTGGTAGCGGCTGAGCACTGCACCAGGTCTGCCTTGCCCTCCCTACAAGACATTTACACCAGCCACTGTACGACCAGAGCAACAATAATATCCAAGGATCCATCCCACCCCAATAACCCCTATTCTGCCTGCTGAACTCAGGCAAACGCTTCCGCAGCCTTATGACCAGAACGGAAAGGTCGAGGAGGAGGTTTTTCCCCCAGGTCATAAGGCTCCTAAACCAGGACAAGTCTCAGTGCCCCTAGGTCTTCCACCGGACTTTACAGTGACTTTTCAGTCACTGTAACACTGACAGAACACTGCACACTGTGTACGTGTGCCCATTATCTCATGAGCACTGTTTACATTCATTTCACACCGTCCAAATTGTCGGTACATTTCTCAGGTCTCTTGCACACTGCGCTTATATTGCACAGCACAATACCTTTTACCTTATCATTTATGTATAGATTATGTGCAGTTGAACATATTTCATACATTTTTTAATTTTTTGTATTGTTCTTTTTATATATTTTATTGCTCTCTCATCATGCACAGCTGCTCGGCATGACCAGGGTTACATTTCACTACATGTTGTATGTGCACAACTGTGTACGAGAAGAATAAACCTCTTGAATCTTGAATCTTGGGATTAAAGTCAAGACTGTGGTGGCCAATTCAAGTGTGATAATAATTCCTCGTGCTCCCTGAACCACTTTTTAACTATCCGAGCCCAATGAAAATTGTCACTATCATCCTGGAATATGCCCATGCCATTAGGAAAGAAACAATCCATTGATGGGACAACCTGGCCATTCAGGAGATTCAGGTACTCAGCTGACTTCACTTTATTGCTGCATAACGTACAGTAGCTGAGCAGTAATAATGATCCAGTTATTGGCTCTTAAGTATCTGTTGATTTAAATTCAAACGGTGACTTTTTTGGCCAGGCAGTGTAAATAGTCTGTAGGGTTTGCAAACTACCCAACGCTTTTGATGTAGCTAATTTTAGGTTTATACTGGAATAATATCGATTTGCTTGAGCGTAAGAGTGAAAGCGTGAGAGTGGGTAACCCTGCTCATGATTATGATGATTCTTAACTATAAAGGTAACCTGATATTCATGTTAGATGTATTTTGGCACAGTTTAATGTCCATCATTTTAATTAATTAAATAATGGCTTGTTTAATAGGTAGAAGCATGGACTCACCACTCCGGTGGATCAAGTTCTGCGTCTACCCAGCAACACCTTTGAAGCAAAAGTCACTCGCCTAGAACCGAAAATGAAAGGAGTGTTACCTCGTAGCCCATATTTACAACTACTCTAACTTAATATGCAGATTTTATTTGTCATTGGATTAAATCTAAGGTGGTATACGTATCTATGTGACACATTGTTATTCTAATAGCCTTGAGTAATGTTCAGACTGCTTTCTCGAATATGTATGGACGCTTTAATTGCTAATGGCAGAGAAACATGGAAGTATTTATATGTTTAGCTGAATAATCCACATGACGTTAACCGATTGCGAAAATCTAGGACGAAACAAAACCTTAGTTGCAAAGTGCGAAATTCATGTCGAAGATAGGTTTGATTTTCGTGACATTGTTACATTTACGTTCGTTACATTTACCGTGTGACGACTGACGATGTTTTGTTTTGTGTGCTCAATATTCTTTCCTAAATAGTACAAAAACTTCAGAAAATGGAGTAAACAGTCATAAGAGTAAATAACCATGATAAATGTTTCCAGGGTTAATGCAATTTACTAATCCATTCTCACATTTCCAGATTGACAGGTGCTTTTTCGCTGTCGACCGAGTGATTTCACGTAAAAATGTCTAATACGGTAAACATACACTTATTTCTTTCTAAAAGTCGTAACGATCCTCTATTTAAACAATTTATTTGCTTCATGACAGGATGCAATTGTTTTCTACAGGAAGATTCAGCTGTGACGAATGGTCAGACGATACTTAAAAATGATTTACATGATCTACAAAAGATCAAACAGGAGATTAAGATGTGCGAGGTGTGTATAATGCGGTGTTTACTCTTGTATTATGTGGTGGGCCTGTTTAATGTAGATGCTCAGAAGATAGACATTAAAAATCGGCATAAATGAATCCGATATATAATACGAAAAAATACATTTTGTTTCCTTCCATACGGAAACCGTGTGTAGACAACTCATGCGCAGTTGTTGACAGACCAGAAAGAGTTAAGTAACGCCAAAGATGACCTGTGGATACTGGCTGAGAGATTTCAGAAACAGAGCGAAAAAATCAAGCGTGAAATGGAAGAGGAGGAGAAAGAGCACAGCCAAAGAATGGATAATTTACAGGTACTGTATATAAGGTCATAAAAGAGCTGGGCAGGGAGATTTGTATTTTTGGAAATGTAATTCCTTATTGTTCTACAGAGAAGTTATTACTAGTTATTAGTTAAGGACTTTGATTCATATATAGCTTTGTCTGATTTGAGTGACATACATTGTTGACTTCAGGAGAGGGTTTGAAATAGCTAACCTGACACACTTCGACAGACAATAAAGTTTTGCATCAAGATCAATAAAACACCATTTTCTTTCACTGTCTAAGACTTTTGCACAGTATGTTATGCGAGCAGCAGAAAACAACACACAGAACACTGTGTGTTGTGTAAAATGTGTAAAAATAGGAATACAAATATTTACAGAAGACAAATATACAGAAGACACAGTGCAAGAGATCAAGACAATAATATACCATAGTGCAAGAACTAAAAACAGTCTGATAAAGAATGCCATTACCTTACCTGAAGTGAGCTGTGATCTTTTTTTTGTGAATATGAATGTGATGGGCACAGCATGCTAGTAATGTATTGCTAGTCCAGATGTGAGTGCTGCTTCTCTGCCAGGTGAAGTTAGAGAAGCTGCAGAAGGAGCAGGATCTTCTGAAGGCAGAGGAGCAGCAGATGAAGGATGAACTTGAGCGTACTGACAAGCTGAATGAGAAGCAAAGACGGCAGGCACAGGTAAACCAACCGTAACACAAACTGTGCCCTGGGCATTTCTGTAGCACTCATGGCTACGGGGATGGATCAAAATGGGCAGTGAATTGAATGTAAAGACTTCATCACTTTGAGGATCATTTGAACTGGATTTAGTTCTCGAGAGCTTGCCCTACACTCCTTTGTCTGGTGAACATCTCATAATGCTGTAAATGCTGTTGTAGTTCTCTGCAATAGTGCCTGAAAAGCGATTGGTTTTCTCTGGAGATGCAAGCAGCACGGCAGGAGGTTTGGATGTGAATTCTCAAATTGTCTATCCCATGGAAGGTGGGACTGCGCTGCTCACATTTGAAGAAGAGAAGGGTGAGCCATTCGGTTTACCCACCTGGAGAACATCATCTTTTCTTTTTTTTTGTATTTTAAACTGCAAGCATGAAGAAAAAAGCTCTGTGTACTTTTGAATGTCTTTGTATACTTTTCCTGTAGTGGCACAGCAAGTTCTGGCTCTTCAGAAGCATGTGATCCGCTTGGAAGATTGTTCCGTGACCCTAGAGGTCAAACCTGTACAGTTCCTCATTCCAAGCCACATAGAGGTATTGCACCACCTTATTTGCATAAATGGTCTTGATTAATTTTAATACTATGACAGAATTCATTATACGAAGGAATGACTAGCTCTTTGTTTCATAATGAAACTTATATATATTTGTCTGACTTACAGAGAACAGACTGCCTATGAGTTAAATACAATGGTTCGTAATAATGAACACGCACTATTTTGCTTTTCTTATTACTGTATTATTATCCATCCATCCATCCATTGTCCAACCCGCTTATCCTACTGGGTTGCGGGGGGTCCGGAGCTTATCCCGGAAGCAACGGGCACGAGGCAGGGAACAACCCTGGATGGGGGGCCAGCCCATCGCAGGGCACACTCACACACCATTCACTCACACATGCACACAGGGAGAACATGCAAACTCCACACACATGTGACCCAGGCGGAGACTCAAACCCAGGTCCCAGAGGTGTGAGGCAACAGTGCTCTGTATTATTATAATAATAATTATTATTATTATTGTTATTATGCACTGTATTATATTGTTCCGACTTACAAATGCAACTTAAGACAGACTAAGGGACGCATCTCGTTTGTAACGTAGGGACTGCCGGTATTGCCTTTATCAAAGCAGTCATCTACAGTGCAGATGGCTGATGTGCTCCTTTTGTGTGTTGAACCGTCAGATGGACATCTATGAGTGTCCCAGGTGCATTCTAATCTCCAACCTGCCAAAGGACGTTGAAGAAAGCCGCCTCTTGGACAGGCTGGAGCTGCACTTTGGCAAGACGCGTAATGGGGGAGGTGAAGTGGAAACCACAGAAATGCTGGAAGATTCCAATGTGGTCATAAAGTTCTTGAATGGTGATGGTAGGTATGGGCATAGCGTAACAACGTTATTATGCTAAAATTCATGTTAGTAGTCTGGGTGCAAGATTAACTTTAACAGGGAGATAATACATTTTATAAAATTTTTGTATTGTTTCAAGTTTCATCGATATAGTGTATGGTGCAAAAATCCTAGTCAAAGAAAATGGTTAAAGCTATTTATCTAGGTAGTAGGTGTATATTTGGTGAGATAAACACACAATTTATCCTTTAAATATATACTAATTAACAACACTATAAGAATTTCTTCAGTTCTCCAAAAAGTTACTGATGTCTAGAAGAACACTGCTGTAGTTCCCAAACCTCTCATCACGGGCACCCCCATTCCATGTATTTGGTACATTCCACCATCATCATCTTACATAATTCATTAACTTAATTAGTTAGTTAAATAGCTCAATAAGGTATTGATTATCCAAACATGGTGTGCTAGTGGTTGAGTCAAAAATACATGAGTGTATTGGATGGTTGTTGCAAATACTGAGAGAACTTTAAGAGAGGCTTAAAATGGCTACACACTTTGATGGAAGTCATAGTTTTACACGACCATGAAGATCATTTAAATATCATTTTATTTTACTGCCTTAGACTTTTGCAATGTGCGGAATGAGGTTTTTATTCAGTAAAATCCTTATAAAAGAAGTGAAGACTGACCTAATAGAGGCTTTTTTTCAGTCACTGAAGGTTTGGTGCGTAAGAAGTACCATGATGTGCAAATGGACAAGAAGGAGAGAGTTAGAGTGACTCCCTTTGTGAATGGGGAAGTAACCACCCTGCAGGTAAATATTAATGAGAATGATGACAATCCATTCAAACAGCAATTACTTCAGCAGTTCTTTATTCAGCCATTTCGTATTTCACAGTGTTCAGTGACAAAGCCAGCAGGTTTAAGTGTATTCAATGCTCAATGTAAGATGTGTTTTTAAACATTTTATACCGCATCTTGAAACTGTTTATATCTGAAATGCAGGGCTGCTTACCCAGGGACGTCCTCTAAAAAGGGGAACCTCGTTAAAAAAACTTTAAACCCCACCTTCACCCTACCCTCTCAGTCGACAGCTTTTATTGTGACTACCACCACCCTGGTCGACATGCACCAAACTTGTCATTGTCTTTTGAAAAAGTTCAATATACCCTAAATTTCCACTACAAATCATTTAAAGATTTATATGCTACTATTTTAAATGGGCAGTGCCTGCAAATTTAATACATTTCATTTGTCAGCTTAATATAACAAAATAAAAAATACTTACTTTATTTTGGTGACTAAAAGCAGCCTTGGAAAATAAAAATAAAGATTTTAAGGTTCTTCTCGTACTCCTGATCTTCCTCAGACCCAGCTGTCTGTGGCCAAGCGTACCGTGTTACTCACTGGGATTCCCAGTATCATGGATGAAGAGACCATGCAGGACAGCCTGGAGGTCCATTTCCAAAAGTCCTCCAATGGTGGAGGAGAAATTGAAGCCATAGCCTTCAACTCTGTCGGCCACAAGAAGCTTGCTGTCTTTGACAATGACGATTCTGCAGACCCTTGAGCCTGATGTACTACAGGCCAGTCAATAATATAATGATAATATTATGAAGTGTTATAAATTCTCAAATCAGTAGGTATGTCCATGTGTCAATTCTACAAAGGAAAACATTTAGTAGTTAGCTGGGAAATATGTTTAGATTTTGAAGGTGATGTTACATTTCATTACAAGTCATAACTAAGTCTGATCTAAATTCTTAAATCAGAAATGGACTGCTTATGAATATTATGCACTAAAATTTATGGAACTGAAAGACATATGAAAATATATGTTTGTGTTTTAGGATAGCATTGATCAGAAATGTTACATGATCACATGTGGAATGTTTGAACTGATATTTTGCAAAGACAGATCACAGAGAAAAGTCTACACTGAGAGATTGGTGTAATATGTCTTTGACTGATCACACTGTTAGTTCCCACTAGAACCCGCTTGCATGGCCCGTATTTCATCACTCCTTGGACTTGAGGGCAATACTCAGATGTGACAGCTTGGTGGCAGCAGAGAGCACCAGTCTCTCAGACTATATGAAAACATGACACAATTTACACTACATAGCTGTATAAGCATTTCCCAACAACTTATTTTGAGGGTAAATATACTTTTTTAAGAATTAAAGATTAAGTAACAAGGTCTCAATGAACAAACAGTTTATTTGCCATATTTAACATTGGTAACACTGTTACTAGCATCACAATATGACATCATTGATCAGCTATTCAAGAGAAAAATTGATATATTGCACAAATTACAAGTATTTCCCTGACATTAAAAAAACTAAAATGAAACAAAAAATAGTTCAGTTTAATGGTAGGTAACATGCTACTTTCATATACCATTAACAATGTAAAATTAATACAACATTCTACTTGGCAACTCACAGACAGTGCATAAACCCAAGAATGCCAAACATTTAAATAAACTTTTAAAAATAGATTTGTCAAACTAAGTTTGACTTATTTGGATGTGGTGTGCACTCATTTATATATTATGATCTTGCTTGAGGTATAAACCACATGTTCAGAATTCTCTAAGTTAATTGGTTATTTGGGTTAGGGTTAGGGTTAGAAAGGTCTTATGACCCCCAAGTGGTTTGATCCATCCCTTCAGATCTAATATGATAAACTGAGTCTCATATAATGCCTGTGTGCTTGGAAAAGTAGAAGACATTAATGGCACAAATACCATTGTAAAAAAAGCCACAGTCATTCCAAAAAGCAGAACATTTACATGAATCTCCTGTGCTGTGTGAAAAATTCTGAAAGAACTGGAACGGGACACAGAGCTTTAACACAGTGGCTAGTTTTTGTGTCCATAGTGGCAAAAGTGCAAAGGTCAAAACAATTTCATCTTTGTTTTCCAAAGTCTGCTTGGTCAAGGTGACACAGTGCTCAATTTTTCTTTTTTCTTATAAAAAGCAATTTTCAAAATGCTCTGTGTAGTTGACACATTAGAGTGCTACATTTGAATTCACTGAAAGCGGAAAGTGATAAGAATCCATGGTAAAAGGTTAAACAGTGGCTCATGATGAAGGCAGAGGTGTACTGTAGACGTAAATGGGAGAGTGTGACTGGATGGTGGGTTCACTCCCGTGTATCCAGCATTCCCTCACAGACCCTCCAGGTCCAGGCAGTACTGCTTCTGGGCGCATGGACACAGCGCATCTGTAAGCCCGTTTTAGGCAAAACCTGGTCATGGGGCACTAACCGGCCATCCAGTGTCACCAAGCTGAAAGCCCTCTCAGAGATCTGCAAGAGATAAATTCAGGACAGGTTGGGGACAGATTTTTCAGGAAAAATTCTACTTTCATCCTCTTTGCAGTAGACATAGGTCATACACAAACAGATCAATTGTCGTACTTGTTCACTTATTCCTGTGGCGACGTGTCCCACGGTCACCTTGGGGCTCTCCCGAATACAAAGACACTGCCCATTGAAGTTCTCTATACATACATCCACTCCTGGATGAAGAATTCATAAAGATTAGTGATAAGGATGATATACCATTAATTGTAATTTATGTAGGTTCCTGCCTATGCATTTTGTTGCAAAACTGAGTCAAGCACATGTTGTTTTTAGTTGACAGACTAAAACTTAACTATGGGTCAACAAGCCATTTTATGACCTTCTGTTCTTATGACGTAGCCAGCCCACCTTCAAAGCACCGTGCGGATGGCTGAGGTGAGGAGCCCAGCCAGCCAACATTGAAGCTCTGTCCTTCAGTTTGACTACTGTAGGATGAGTAGACACCAGAACTTAGATCATCTCCCATGCTGACCGACCACCAGCCTGAATCCTGCACACAGAGAGGACCGAGGGAAAACTTCAACCTTTTTTTCTTTCTTGTTAGCTATTTTCAAGGATCTATTAGTAGAAAAGGTATGAATTTATTTCCCATGCCTGTCAGCTGAGTTACTTATAAAAGTGCCAGATGCAACAGGCAGTCAAAAAGACATGGGCTGAAGGTAACCACTTAAATGTCTGCTCAGCACACAATGTCACCAGCAGGGAAACTCTATATATCCAAGCAACCTGCCTTGCCAGACCAAACCAAATAATTGACAAATCATCAACTCATCATGCTTATTATTATACTGGCTGACAAGTATTGCCCTGCAGGCAGGACTCTTAATGAAGACCAGGGAAATCCTCTATACCGACCAATTCACTCTGTTTTCGCTGCATATTATGGGATGTTCTTTGTGTTGTAGGAAATAACCAAAATACAATATACTGGAACAGCATAATATAGTCGTCTTGAGAATGTTAGATGTATTCAGTGGCTTCTGCTTCAGCACCTTCTCTCCAGGGTCCCTCTGAGAGGTACAGTCACTGCTCAAGCTGGACAACAACTGCTCCTGTAGTTCTGGGGGGTGTGGCTGAGATAGGCTACCCAGGATCAAGTCTGGAAAGAGAGCGTAGTAAACAGTCAGGGACAGAAAGCACTTAACTATATAACTATCTTGACGTTTCCAGAAATATGTTGTTAGGAGTCTTCCCTTTTTAGCAGTGAGGACTCCTTGTTTCAGGCATTAAGACAGTGACTAGTGTTACACTGTCAATCCAGACTAGTTTACTTCAAATCAGAATTTCACTCAAAAAATGACCACACAATTTCCTACACACCTACAATAAATCACACTGTTTGTTTTCTAAACAAACTGATCAAGCTATGATGTAATATGACATTTATTCCAGTTTACATTGGAAGTTTAAGGTTTGGGCTATTTTAGAAGTAACTTTAAAATATCATTGAGGAGAGAAGCAGTCATCTCATCTTCTGTTGCTCAGCTCTCAGGTTCCCATGAACCCTTGATGCTATGAAAAGGTCCGTTCTTTAAGAAGCCATAGCACTTAATTTATGGCTGTTTAAAACAGTCTACTGGCTAACAGTCTCACCTCGGCTAAGTTTCTGCAGTTCCTGCTCTGACACTGTATAGGTGCTGTCCACCTGCTCCCATCGCCAGGGTCCAGAGTCACATGCTGGGATGCGGAGGCTGCCCTCCGCAGAAATGCAATCTGAGGACTCCCACCCTCTGTCATCATCTTCCTCAGATTCCAACTCCTCTTCGTCTTCCTCTTCAGACTCTTCTTCCTCCTTCTGGGCAGTCTCCCTCCAGGGACTCACCCACTCTTTGATTCGCTCTGAACTTGTCTCCAGGGAGAACACCCGTCTGAGAGGAGACATTGACCTGGAGCTTCTGGATGACCCATGCTCTATACTTGCTGGCTCATGGTAGGCTCCTGTGATGGGGCTTCTGAGTCCACCCACTTCAAAGACAAAATCACACAAGCAGAGCCAAATGCAATTGAATTACTTAACTGCTGGAAGGGAGAACCATCAGTTTATCAAAGACATGCACACTTTAATTAGTCAATCTTTTCATTCATCAAATGAGGTCTCACATTTTCTCAAGGCTTTGGTGACTTTCTCCAAAAGCTCTGCAGCTGATGCCCTTTTCATTGGCTCTTTTTGTAATCCAGCTTTGAATACATCAATGGTGTATGGCTTACAGCTGGCTGGAATCTCCCTTAGAGGGGGGGGCTCGTTTGCAATCTATAAAACACAAAAGACTTAAATGAAACACATTGTACATGGTGTGATATTGATATTATATGCTCTTAATGTCTAATGATTTTTAATGTAAAGAAATCTTAATTGTCACTGATATAGACACAGAAAATCAATAATGGCACCCAACACAAGTGTATTCATCCAATTGTATCTAATGGAAATATTTAATCTGCTTGAGAGCAAATCATTCACATTCACCGCTACGATTAATTGTGTTCACACATTAAACATAATGATTAGAGATTGACATGACATGTTATTAGGACAATTCCACATTTTACTATGTGTAGAAATATGTTATCATTTCAAACATAACCAAAAACAAACAGATATTAATACACAAAACAGTATCTGACAGTCTAATTGTAATAAAAGGCAGAGCAGCAAAAAATATTTAGGACTGATCATTAGCAGTAAACATATGCACAGCTTTTTCATGAGTAGACCTCTGCTTTCATATAGCAGCATCTACTGAGGAAAAGTTTGTGTATTCATGTTGACATTTAATCTGTAGGTCTGACATGGAGCATAAAAATTACGGTCACCGTTCTCCTGCTCCTAAGTGATGAACTGCGAATCAGAATGAACTGACGGTTGACTAAAGTCACCACTGAGCAATTGTTGAGCACGTGAATTTTAAACAAAGGCTCCACAGACCCCTAAGTGAAATGACTCAAGGTGTGAAGTACAGTAACCCTTTCACATTTGCAAACTTTTTCAGGTTTGGTTATTGGCATGGTCACCATGAATAATTACACTGGAATATTTGTGGAGCTTGCTGAAACTGGCAGATGATGCATAAAACAATACTGAAAATGATTTGGATCACATAAATATATATATATATATATTAGTGATTCATAATATTTGCTAGTGTAAGTGCAAAATATATCTTTAACATTTAAAGTTTTGCAATGGGTACCCCGCGCATCCTTCTCTCAGCAACCAGCCTCACCCACATGACCCAATGTCATTGTGGTGGATTCTCACAGTAAGTCTCAAACTTTTCATTGCCTTTAGTTTTGCATTTTTAATAATGGGTCCAAAATGTAGTGCTCCCAGTGTGTATAGGACTGTAGTTACTTTGTACATACAGGGGTATCATTTAGAGGGTTTATAATTTATATAAAACATCTATAAAGGAAATGGCAAGGCATTAGAACTTGAAGTTCATTAGAACTCCAATTTCTTAAAAGTTGAACCAACCAGTTAGAAAAAAAATGACCTAGAACTCAATCTGAATCTCAGAAGTCGAACCTTGAACGCCGACCTCAGATAACTTGTATTTGCGGGGAAATGAGTCATGCGGCACATCTCTCAGCGGAAACAAAGGGTAACGCTTCAGTCTAAGCTTCGCATTCGCTGTGATAGCATCGTGCATGTTTACACTAGCCGAATACATATATTTAGACAGTAAAAATACATTTAGACAATGATAGACAGTAACAGTAATTATTATTATTATATAATAAAATACATTTACATTATATACTTACATTTAATTACAGGTAAAGCAGGCAAAACGAAGATGGACAATACAATGACCGGACTGGGGACACAAACTGAAACGCGGAAAAAACACATAGGACTAATGACAACATCCAGAAACAGCTGATCACACGGGGATTCCACACGAGGTTAACGAGGGGGCATGGCACATGGAAGGAGCGGACGATTGGGGCAGGACACATTGTTTGTTTTTTTTTTTTAACTTTACACATTGTTTGGATACATTGATTTTCTTACTTTACAAATTACTGCTTTGATAAATGTGCTTAGATGTGTTTAGTACAGTATATGCTCTTCTTGTTTTATCCTGTCCATTTTGTGTTTAAATGCTAAAAAAAAAAAAAACATATTTAGGTGTATTTTTTTGGGGTCGGGAACCAATTAATTGGTTTTCCATTATTTCTTATGGGGAAAATTCCATCAGAACTCGAACTTTTTAGGATTCAAACCCAAGTTCTGAATGGATTAAGTTCGAGTTCTGAGGTACCAAAGGTTTCAAAAAAAGTCAATAAAATACACTTAACTGATGGTTCAGAATGATGGCAAAAGCTACGTACTTTACTTGGGGCAGTGTGTAGATGGTGGGGTTCTCACCTTGAGGCACAGTGGGTGGGAGTAGTAGCGGGTCCAGGGATGGCAGCCATTGAGCATGTGCAGTAGCATGCAGCAGCTGCTCCAGACATCCGCCTTGGCACAACGAGGTTCTCCTTTCACCACCTCAGGGGCCATGTGTGTCTCTGTGCCCCGGAAGCTCTGTCCTGTAACCACGGCACATCATGAACGTCATCCTATCCCACTGCCCAATGTACTCGTATATAACGACCCACTGTGACTAGGGCTAAATCTGCCTAAGCACAATACAGCTATTGGCCTGTATTACAATGGCTTCTTGCGAATTACAGTTCCCTTAAGCACTTGATCTTACCATGGTTGGCTTTATTGCTCTCTCCATTGGGTCCCAGCCTTTCCGAGTGGCCAAAATCACAAAGAAAGATGTCCTTCCCATCCTCCGAGAGAAGCACATTGTCAACTGCAGACAGACATACAGAAGGTATGGACACAAGGCACTGAGGATGAACACACCCAGATAAGGGCTCCAGACAGTGGAACAGCCTGAAAGCCAGTCCATCACATACAAGCACACACTCATACGAAGAACACGTAAACTCCACATGCCTAAAGCAAAAGTGGGACTTGAACCTGGAGGTGTGAGGCAACAGTGTAACCATAGCTGTAATACTTCAGGTGAAATTAGTGATATCAACATATAGGCTGTAGTGAAGGACCTTCCCTTTTAAACTGAGATCCAACTCAGGTCACAGGAGCCATGTTTCTGTTATACTTGTTCAAGGAACTCCTTTAGAAGCATTGTGCTCAATAGATAAAAGTGAAATGTTAAAACACAGAACTGACTAGGAAGTATCCAGTTAAGTATGAGACTAAAGTTAAATAATAAATAAACTTGCTTTTAATTACTTTTTCAGATGGCTGTTGGTTGGGAGGTGCAGTTGTGCAGATGGAACAGAGGCCAAGTCTTGAGAAGGAAATGTGTTATCTTTTTATTTATATATTTTTTTAACTATGAGTCAAAACTATGATCATGTGATGGGAAATTCCCCCTCCCCCCACTTCTGCATTTCTGCTCTCTGCACCGAGCAGCGATGGAAAACAAACCTCTTGCGAATTTGAAAAAAAAAAAGGTAACACCACCAAAAGACAACAACAAACATCGTAAGGCTGGAATATAAACAAAGAAGTGAAACCAATCAAAAAATAGTGCATGTCGCCCATGTGTGAACGTTATAGTGATTTATGTGAGGGTGTGTGAATTTCCACAGTTGTACAGCTAGAAGATGGGTCTCCTTTTGTGAATATGTGTGGGAATTCATAATGCTCACATAATGCTACAACTATGTGCCATCAAGATATCTTCTTTCTCATTTGACTCACCTTTAACATCCAGGTGCAGGACCTGCTGCTTGTGAATGTGCTGCAGGGCCTCCAGGACCTGAGAATGGTAATGAAGGGCAAGATCCTCTGGCAGTCGGCCTCTGTCCCTTAGCAACTGCCCTAGAGAACCTGAAAAGGAGGCAGATAGTTATGAGACAGACATCATTACTTCTCTAGATGGTGGCCTTTCAGACCTGAGCTCAGAAGCAGATTCAATAACTCAATATTGAGCCTGAAAGAGTGTTCATTGCATTTGATGGATGAACAGTCACTTCATTCAACAAATTCAATGAGTGACCATCAAATACATTGACTTAAGAACCATGAGATATTGTTGACTTTGAACAATGAGGCACAGTTATAATGTCAAATAAGTGAGATCAACCTTCTTGACAGAAAACTGGTTCTCGGAGTACTCTGGGAATAAACTCTGTTGACTCACTTGGCTTGAGATCCATGAAGAGGATAATGTTTGGGCCCTCTCTCACTGCCCCAAATAGCTCCACTACACGGGGAGATTTCAGGACACTCCACGAGCCCACCTCCTCACTTTTGAAGTTGTTCAATGGTATCTAGCATACAAGAAAAGCGAAAGGTGCGTCAATGCCAAGCGTCTGAAAAGATAATATCTGAAAAGAGTTGAGGTACACGGTTGAAACTGGCATTACCTTCTTGGCGGCACACTTGAATCCGGTACTGTTGTCCTGCACGCTATAAACATCCCCATACGAGCCACTCTGGATGTGGCTAATCAGGGAGAAGTCTCTTCCTTCCCTGAACTCATAATTCTTGGGCTTGAGTTGCTGGCAGACAAAAACGGATGGGTGATTTACTAAGTTGCAGGTGGTGGGTGGGGGGGCAATAAAATATCTTTAACTTTTACCACCCTCACCTCCTCAGGGTGGAATAAGAAGCCCTCATTTATATCTGCGTTGCATGCATCAAGGGATTCCTCTGCAGTTTCTCTCTCCAAAGCCTTGAAGAATGGGACCAAGAAGCAGCGGTCCTCCTGGCTCACAGTGTTCTGCAGGGCCTTCAGTGCTATATCATACTCACCCAGGCTGCTGACCAAAGAGTTTGCCCAGTTGTCCTGGATGCTCATAGCATCCCACGGGTGGATGTCGTGTGGCAGAAAACCAGCAGGTAATGCAGGACAGGCACGCTGGATTAACTCCAGTCCAGGTCCCTCCGTCTCTTGCACAGCTGACCTCTGGAACCTTCCATGGTCATAGCAGCTGATGAGGAAATCTTCCTGGATGGGCATGGGGGAAAATGCAGTGTCAGCATGGAGACACTAGAGCAAATATGACTTAATTTGAGATCAAAGTCTGGAGACTATTAAGGTTGTGCTTTGAAGAAGGCAATTAGACCTTTCTCATCACATGTTTCATTCCTATCAGGCTTTAGATGTCTGATCTATAACTGAGATTGGAGTCTTTCTTTTTATACGCAGTGTAACAGCTTATCTGGACATAATTATGGCAGATGTAAAAAGTGCAGCATATGTTAAACATACATTATCACCATCATTTGGAGATACTCACCTGGTCTGGACTTGTGGAGCATTCTGTTGTATATGGGTGAGGCTGTTAATGGAGACTTAAGTCAGACACTCAAGTTTTCAAATACCGTTTTCATTTTAAAATACAATCTGTGTTTAACACATCATCAATGTGGATGACACATCTCTGTGTGAATGGGAAACATTTTTCGTTTCACTTAATTCACCAGAAATGCCCTTTAAGAATACAATATAAGTATACATATCAGATCAGGACTTTTATGCTGTTTCAACCGAAAGGGGAGGCAGTGTATGGGAGAGGTGGTCAAACGATTTTCTAAGTTGCTGGTTTCACTTCCTTAATAGAGGAGCTAATGTTTTGGGTAAGGACTCCAGTGTTTCGACATCATTACCTATCCTTTTACCAAAGAACAATGACTTATCAGTGTACAGGCAGCATGTTAACTGCACTCCAATGTTGCACTCAAGAATGACTACCATGTTCATTACTCATGACAAAAACGGAACACAGGCTTTCGTGACAAATAAGGCCGAACCACAATTTTCAAGTGAATTTCAAGTCACAAAAACATGCATCTGCTGATCTTCCATGTTGAAGATAGATAAACCACCAGTGCTTCACAAAAATCATTTGTATTGGAGAGTGCTTGCCGTTTACTTAGCATTGAAATACTTGTATCATATTAGTTTCTGTCATGTACGGGCCAAGAAGATATGACAATAACCATTTTTAACATTCGAGATTATATAAGACTTGTGCACACAAGACAGACATCCTGTGAGAAGATGCTGGACTTGCCCGACTCTGTACCTGGCTAATAGAGCTGCTGCTCTCCTGCTCAGGCACTCCTGATGACGTTCCTTGTTCACACTCCTCCACATGTTCCCTCCGCCTTTTCCGACGCTGTCTCTTCCTCCGTTTGCTCGGGGAGCGATGGGGCTGGGGAGCCAGGGGTCCCACATGGTTCTCCAGTTGCGTCGCAAACTGAGCCAAGTAGTCACTTTCCAGGCTGTGTTCTCTAAAGGGCCTGCGGAGAACCGCATGCATGACCATGGATCATCCAGAAAGGACAGAAGCTTTCCTCGGGTACAGTCTTGCAAGATATGGAACAGAAAGGTTGAAGGTCCTCACCTGTCCTTGTTAATCAAGTGTGATCTAATGTAAGTGTGTTCTGTGCTTGTGGGGCTGAACTCCAGAGGTCCTTCACCTGGAATACAATCGAACAGTGTATGAGTATGACTAATACATCACACCAGTAGGGCTTGCACGTCATTCAGGAATCTTGTCCTATTCACTGTATTACCTACACCATTTTCAGTTTGAGCTGCGTCTGGTTAACAAAGTAATAACATGCATAAACCTCAGTTCTGTACACTTTACCCTACATTTGAATCTTCCCATAGCCTTCCCCTGGAGAAGTTCATGCTGTCCATCTTACTCTCAGGCTGGGCGATGATGGAGATGCAGAAAAGCTCCTTTGCCCCCTGCTCTTCGTCCCCCACTTGCTTGGCAGTGCCCCGTGTCAGCAGCACCTTCAGCGAGGGGTGGATCTCAGCGAACAGTAAATCCTCTCCGACCTCCTTTATCTCAGAGCACATCTTCTTCCCCTGGAAGGGAAACTCCACAGCTGGACCCCCCTTCAGCTCCTTGAAGGGGGTGGTGGAGTTGAACATCCTGGGCCCAGCCATGCTTTCTCCTTCAACTGTCCCACACTGCTGAAAAAGAGGTATGTCATCAATCAAGGAAATAGCGTTCTTGGAGCGGCTTCCATGTTGTTGAGCTTGCCAAGAGACATAACTTACATAGTTGATGTCCTTTGAAGACTGGACATTATCTATTTTTACTTGTTATCAGAGCCTAATCAGATATGGTAGCAAGAATAAAAGTACCTGCCAGTAAACTATGTCAATGGCTCACACTGTCTGGCAAAACAATAAGCTTGTTTCCCCACCTTCTTCATACCTACTCTTGAGCAGGGGCAATAATTCATAAAGTGTGGGAGGACATTCAAGATTTTTATCTTCTAAGAGCCAGGATGATATGATAACAATCACTCCTTTGTCAAGAAAGTATCTGATAATGAGGCAACTATGGGGACACACCAAAGTGTGAAGTTTAATGTCGAGAAAAAGTACTCTAAATAAATTTAACATACCTTCAAGCCCTGTGGGCGGTTGATGTGTTAAAAGAGTTTTCTTTCCTGCCAATTAGTTGCTTGACCTGACCCAAGATAGAACTGACCTGCTCAAATGACGTCAACCCTTCAATTTCTCTAGCTTGGATGTAACCTGCCTTTTTTTGTATTTTTTGTGGGCTAAGTAGCTGGAAATTCTCCTGACTGCATTCAACAATTTGGCACAAGACAACTTGCTTGTGCTTTATGCTTACAGGTCTGTCAGGATCCCATCACTGTCAGTTTACATGTATCTAAAATCAATTCAGTATCACTTTCAGTCTTTCAATGCTTCTTGGGAATTTTTATGATTATGCACACAGCCCTTGGATGATATTTATCTAGCTATAAAAATCAGACATGACTTTTGTATTGTCATTTCCAGTATATGTGTGTTAACTATTTTACAGATTGTGTAAAGCTGCCTCTTTCCTTGTATTGGTCAGTCACTTTTTTCCTTTGCAAGCTTAAAGCTTTACATCCTCTTCCAGCACACTTTTTCTTGGGGCATGGACAGGCTATGGCAAGTCTGGCCTTTTTAACTAAATGATGGACAAGGCTGAGCCAACTGCCCAACCTCTCATCCTCCCTGAAGCTCTGGTCCTGTTGCAACATTGCTATGGGTTGCATCAGTGCATCTGCTGCTGACTTTCACTACAATACCACTTGGATGGCTTTTGGCCACAACGTGAAATGTGCTTCACCAACAGCTGCCCCTTTACTATTGTGTGCCACTCCTGCCTAACAACTGTTCCTACCATTTTTAATTAAAAATGATCAAGTTCCTTTGCCACAGTTTAGCATTGGTACCACAACACAACACAAACACTCTTTCTTCGATGGTAATAATCCAAGTTTGTCAAGGCAAACCAAACATTAAATGAAACATATGAGACATGCATTTGAGTTAGACGTTACCAGAAATTCACACCCTTAACTAAGAATGTTCAGCAGTACTGGCATTTATTGCTAATAGTCTGAGTAAATCTATCACTGACCCTGAAGTGTATAAATAGCTGGCTGGGGTTCTGGCAACCAGAAAGCAAAATACTCAGCTGGGCTCAGCTGTTATGAGCTTTCTCTGGACGCCCACCATCAACCTCTAATATACTACTCAGATGTGAGAGGGTGACTGACAAAGTGACTTTCTTCACTTTTTAATTCATATCTTTTCAATATTTTCCCATGATGTTTTGGAACACTGTGCAACACTGTAGAAAATTATTCAGTTTAAATATGAGTCATGAGGTGTATGAAATGACTTCGTAATGTTTTTTTTAAACACGACAATTTTTTTTTCAAGGGATTAAGTTTTATCTCTAAGTTAGACTGTTTAGAAATAAGCAGACGAAAAAAGCACTGGTGAAAACGGTTTTCCGGAGATCGTCTGTCAAAAGTTTGATCAGTAAATCGCAACCCGCCTGCAGGAGGGTTGACAAGTAATTTAATTCGCGATTCTTTCAATTATTAAACTAAAAAACAGGTTCGATTTCGATACAATACTACGTGGCCTTGGCGCCGACACCATACGGAGATCCTTTAAAGCACAGCAGCGGCTTATATTAAAAGAGAGGCGATGGCTCAGTCCTGCATGGGTCACGTTTCCTTAGATGAGCGGAGACCGATCTGCTTTGCGTGCGAAGCAACTTCAGAAATTAGCGCTTTGCGGGTCTGCCGCGCCAGCTAGGCACTTTGGCTCTGAATAATCTTCACACACACGCATTCTAACTAATAACAAAAAAAGCACATTGTTGTTTACAAACATCCTTCATAAAAAGCTGTCTTCTGCAAGCAGCTCGCTAATCCGCAAGTCCGCGACCGCCATTCTGTGGGCCGCCAGCTGAGCGCCGCCGGCCGTGCGACCCCCAGCGCCGAAATAAAAACAGGCCCCTTCATCAAGCGCCGATGCGCTGCTGAAACTGGCAAAACAGCTACTTGCATCTGTGAAGAACATAAATTGGCTGAAAATGGCATCAGAATAGAGTGGTATTAAAATACATAGCTGAGTTAAACTTTTAACTGGTCTTTATTTTTTTACTCTGGTCCATGTCATTTTCCCCCAACGATATTTGTAGATTTCGATACATTCTAATGTATATTTGATACATTCTAACTCTGTATGTCATTAGTATTTAAGTAGTTCTGAAGTATACCCATCTGAAAAAAACTAAATGGTCACTAGGATCACTTGCCAAGACCCATTTTCCCACTAACACAGGACATACCCTGCTTTCCTACGAAATTCCTCCTGTTCCAACAGTTCACCCACACATGGCTTTGCCTGATGATGTAACATTTTAAAGTTTTTTTTTTTGTTACTTCCTGCTACATAGTGCCAACAACCCCTCACAAAAACGATCCAATCTGCAACTTTAATAGACTCAGAAAACAGGTCTGTCACGCTAACAAGCAGGCAGTGTGGCGTGCAACACACAGCAGGACATACCAAAGCAAACTTCAGCAGCTTCTCTTTTTCTGAATACTCTTCTCGTGTCTTTTTTCCCCAGTTGAAAGTGCAGTTACAGACCACAGCTGTCTTTCCTCATGCCGTCGTCCTCCACGCCTGCCCTGCTCACGCTCTGCTGCAGCGGATCCTGTTGGCTCACAGTCAAGTGAGCGCTTGGTTCCTGTCGCCCTCTGATTGGTGCAGTGCACTGTATGAGTTACGGGAAGGGCAGCTTCGGTTCCCTGGCCTCCCCCCACCTCGCTGCAAAGCAGTGCGATAGGCTTTACTAAGCCTGCCCTCCTTTCCTCTCTCACTCTCGCTTGCTCGGCTGTCTCTCTGACGTGCACGTGCATGACAGGGAGGTAACCACCTGTCCGACTTTAAGCGATGTTGAAAGGAAATCAAGGCCGATGAGGCGAAAGCTCTATATCGGTTTAACATTTCCTGTCTGAACAGCCCTTTAAATATTCCAAACAAGGTTGTGAATTGGACAGAAGATCTTTGTCCTTTCCTCTTTGTCAAGTTCCCTGTATAAACCATAGCATCTACCCAGTAGCTGATCACCTTAAAGCTCAGACTCGCTGGCAATCCTTTGCACCCTATGCGCACGAATTCAGCTGAATTGCATGTTTCTGGGCTGCAGGATGAAACGGGAGCACCCAAAATAAAACATGTAAACTCTTCACAGACTGAGGAACATGTACCATGCCAGCCTGAGGAACAAATGATCCATCCATTTTCTAGCTGCTTATCCTGGTCAGGGTTACTGGAGCATACTGAGCCTATTCCGGGGAACATAGGTGAAGAGGATACAGCCTGAATGCGATGTCAGTAGGAACAAATGATTTCCAATTTAATTATTATCAAAGTATCTTTATGGTACGGGTCATTGTTGCTGGCTGCTTTCTGGGAGAGTTCTGTGTAATCGTTACAAAGGACCACAGGACAGAAGAGGTCGAAACCTATGCAAAAGATACAAGGAGACTAACAGGTGCTTTGCACCTTGTGGACCTTCCACTCAGTTGAAGAAGTAAATCGCGGCCTGTTAGCTTCCTCTTTCCATGATATTATGCTTCATTCATGCTGGGCATTACACCAGTTTGTCCGGTATACTGGTTTTAATTTCCTGTACGGTATGAAGTTTTCATATACTCCCATACCGAAGCATAGCTGACACAGCTGTTATGTTTCAAATTCAGCAAATTATATAATATTATTAGATGCTAAAAGCGCCATGCATCGCTGTGCTGAGTGTACTAAGAGGAGACCCCTGTTAACTGTGTTATACTAACTATAACTGTTATAACTGTTATACTAACAGTTTTAGCTTTATAACACAACAATTCTCCATATATAACTGTTGAGCTATATAGTATTTGTAGCTCTTGCTTTAGTCTGTGCCTGAAAATTTGGATTACGTGTAATATAATTAGTTTTGCAGTTAAATGTATATCAATAAGGCAGAATCTCTAACACAATCAATTTATCATGGTAATAATTACTAAAATCATGCCGGTTAAGCAAACATGTTGTCAGACATATATATCAAACTATATATACGGTAATATCAATAAAACATGTCTCTGTGGAACAAAATATAGGTTATAATCAATAGGACATGTCACTATTAATTGAGCTGAGTATACCCCTTTTTTTTAAAACATTTGTATGTCTTTATTGATGTGGTTGCTTGCTGCCATGGTGAGAGTGAACTTGAAAAAAGTACCGTGATATGCCGTGAAACCGCCACAATCCTATAAAATACCGTAACACAAATTTCTGGACATATTGCCCAGCATTATGCTTCATGAAGTGGTGAATGCGTACCCTGCATGATTCATATGGTACTATGAGAGTTTAGCCAGTAAGTTCTACATCGGAAGCCACTTACACACGTCTCACCAGTCAGGCATGGAGGAAAATGAAGAATCTGCATACTTCCTGCATGGTTGAAGATGTTGTTGTTTTATTATTTGCATGCCCCCCCCCTCCCCCCCCCAGGATCACTATTCACAGTCTTCAGCAATGGGTACTTTTAAAGCCATCATTTACCTGCACCAACATCTAGGACTGCATGGATTCAGTAAGCATCTCCACCCTCTGCTTGTATTTTGACCTACGATTCTTGGATTTTGATTCATGCCTGCTAGCCCACATAACCATTCATTAAAGCCACTAGCTCCATATTTGGATCTAAGAGCACTTGCATTACAAACCTCAGCCAGAGTTTTAAGTTCATTGATACATTAATGCCTCAGTAGATCCAATAATTGATCTTTTTTTGAATTGTTGTACATTGCATAATAATTGCAGTGATAGAATATTTTTTTTTTTGCAAATGTACATACAGTATAAATATGCTATTCCAAAACACTTAATTGAATACATTGCTGAAGAAACCCCGTATTTTGATATCTAAATGCAGAATTAAAACATTTTACTAGAAAGACTATGCATTAAGCACAATTTCTTCAAAACTAACCCCAGTGATGGCAAGATGGTGCAGAAAATCCCCGCATAAATAAGCGTCCTTAAGAGCACTTATATTATTGCCAACGTGTCAAAGTACATATTCAGATTTTTTGTTCTCCTCTGTGTGACATTTAACAGAGGAAAAAAGAAAACATTGAACGCCAAAGTATTCCTACTATGTGCACAGTCGGCCTTACAGCAGTTTCGTTCAGGTTAAGCAGATATGTAAATACATTATTTGCATTTATAATAATAATAATAATAAAAATGCCGTGTGAAAAGGATGGTACCAAGATTACACAATTTCACTAGGGCAAGTATTACATCTGTTTTGTATTAAAACTGTTTGAAAATTACAAATAACTATTCCCGAAGAAACAAACCCCACTACGGATGGTGCAAAAAATTAAGTGCAAAAAAGAATGATACAATTTTTAAATACAATTCTGAACTGAAATGTCTTGGTATTTCAACATTAAATGCAGATATGCTAAATGGAAAAGAAAACTTGTAGATTATAACCATCCTAAGCAAAGTCTAAGAATGATACAAAATGAGTGGATATCTTAAGTAATTTCTTGCATAATAATTAATAATTCTGTCTATTGTACTACTGCCTAAAAAGATACTTCACATAAACATCTAAGAAATGTTGCTTGTGTTATGTATTATGTGTGTGTATAGATATATAAATACATAGACATATAAAAGATAAACATAAAAAATGTTTAAATCAGGCCACCTAAAATGTGTAGCCTATTATTTACTGGAGAGAATCACAAACAAGGCTGGCTACAGCGCTGTGGTGAAAATCTAATACATTTTCCACCCACTCGAATGTCAAGCATACTTTAAATCTATGTTAAGGCAGCATGTCTGCCTTTCCTCAACAAGTCCTCTCATCAAGGGAAGCCAACCACAACACATGAACAAGAGCACTGGTGACAGGGAACTGAAGGCAAAAGGTAAAAGAATGATCGGCTGGCCAAATGAATGATCGCGCGGGTTGGCTACTGCCTGTAACACTGAGAGACACACACACACACACACACATACAGATTAGGCATCTATATCTTTGTGGGGACTCTCCATGGGCGTAAATCATATCCCCCCCAATAATCATGTCTTCCCCTAAATGGATAGACACCTCAACCCCGCCAATATTCAAACCAAAGTTATGTCCTTGGGACTCTTCTTTCATTTCTGTGGGTATAACCATAATCCCAACATGCTGACCTTAATTCCTACCCAGCCCTAACCTTAACAATTACTAACCAAATACAAGACTTTTGGCGTTTTTAGTTTTTTGATTGCAGTCTCAGATTTCTATCAATTTGAGTTTCCCCTTTTGGGGACTGTAAAAATGTCCCAACAGTATCAAAATAACAGGTTTTTTATCACATTGTGGGGACATTTGGTTCCCACAATGTAATATTTACATAACCCCCCCCCCCCCGCAACACACGCACACACACACACACACACTTTGTCCCCTGCCGTATACTTTACATTCAGTTTACAATTGTGATTTGCCGGTGTATCACTGATGCTGTTAATTTTAAGTATTTTCTTTAACTTGTATATACGTAAATGTCCATGGGTGCATCACATCCGCCTATGAAGAGTATCGTTCATACTGGGAGAAAACTCGTAATCATATATAACATAGATGTCTGACGATTTAGTAACATCTTTCACAATTTAAAGAATGTGCAACAAAATAATGAATTTTCTAAGATAAAATATGAATCCATATCTTAATCAAACTTTCGTAAATAGCATGAATTTGATTAATTTTATAAGGAGTCTTAAACTGAAGCGCACGTTGATTTTTTTCCTCCGCCATTTTACATAATCACTAATTCTTAATTTTCCCAATATCGCCGTAATCAGTTATTATTCCCATTGCAGCCATTACAGGACTCTGAACGTAAAGTAAAAAGTTTACTTACCGTGACGATATTCTGGATAAGATGTGACTCCCGTGGAACAGGGAAATCTCTCACTAACGGTTTATGAAGCCCCGCAGTGTTGAAATATCTCGTTTGCCAACTGATTCAAGAAAAATCGAAAGTAACATGTAATATTAACAACCGGCAAAGAATCTTAAACATGTTGTATGTTGCAGGCTACAACACACTGTATAATATTTTCACAGCTCATACAGAGGACTACCTTCTGAACTCAGCCTACTTTATGAATTTGCCTTAGTCCTGACGTTGAGTGTGTTTAGACCGGATGCCAGACAGGGTTAGGGCAAGAGAGATAGGGCAACTGAGGACATCTGTTTGTTCTGTTCTGTAGGTAAAGGGCACTTTATAGCGTCCATGTTGAAAAATTGTGATTCCTTTAAAGTAATATAGGCCACTCCTGAATTTTTACTTAATTCACAGTTTTGGTTTCCTGTTTTTCTTTGTCTTTTTTTGCTTGGAAATTTACTGAATTTTCACAGCAATCCTGAGAAATGTTCAACTTGTTAATAAATATAATAATTAATCATACAGGCCTATACATTTCGTCCTATATGCAGGGCCCTAATTATCCATCCATTTTCTGCAACTGCTTATCCTATTCAGGGCTGTGTTGGGGTCTGGGGCCTATGCTGGAAGGTATGTGTGCAAGGGAGGGAACAACCCAGGATGGGGCACCAGCCCCTCACAGGGCACAAGGCAGGGAACAACCCAGGATGGGGCACCAG